TTGAAATTAGTGACGTTAAGGGACTTACAGGGACAAAGTAAGGTTTACGTGTTTCACCTGCTGGTTGAGATTGGGTTGCTATCATTTTATGAACATGGATTCCTACCTTCATGGGATTTCCATATCGACAAACTTCTCTTCATAGCAAATTCCAATGCTGCTTCACTGTAAGTTATCTCTTCCTCATCCGTGTCATCATCCTGGTAATCCTCCTCTTCTTCATCCACCTCATTTAATATCTGAACAGTCTTCTCTTCATCTGGCTCAACATAGTCCTCCCTCGTCTTTCCACGCCAGTTGTTTTTGAGATTTGGGTCTCTAGAAGGATATTTCACTTGTTTTGTTAACTTGGGTACTTTTTCAGCTTTTAATTTAAATTGGTTTTTGTCCAAGTCAAGTCTTAAGAGCTTTTTGAGATTCAAAAGCTGCTTGGGAATCTTTGTAAGTTCATTGTGGAACAAATCTAAGGTTTGCAGGTTTGTCAAATTTGCAAAAGAACTGGGGAGTTCAGCCAGGTAATTGTTGCTTAATCTCAACTCAATAAGATTTGTCAGGTTTCCAAAATTATCAGGAAGTCTTTCCAAAAAGTTTTGTGACAGCTGCAAGAACCATAGTCTGGTGAGGGAGCAAAAAGATTCAGGAAGTTTTCGTAAGCGGTTTTGTCCAAAATCAGCCCACTCTAAATTCACTAAGGAGCCAAAGTTTTCTGGCAGTTCAGTAAGCAGGTTTTCATCTAAATGCAGCTTTTGGAGGTTAATCATCCAACCAAAAGAGTTAGGCAAACTGTGCAGCCAATTTCCATTCTGAAATGCTCTTCTTTCCAGTTCACAAATCGTACTCCCAAGTTGCAGCTTTTCAAGATGCTTCAATTCTCCCACGCTATCTGGTAATTGTGAGATGTTATTTCCTGACAGATCTAGAGTTCTTAATGATTTTCCAGATACTGATCCAAAGTTATCTGGTAGGGGGTTCCCTACCAACTGATTGTCAGCCATTCCAAGGTTCACAATATTACACAAACTTCCACACCAAGACGGCAGTGATTTGACATAATTTTTCTCCATAAAAAAGCTTTCAATGACCCCGGCTGATTGGAACCTTTCTGGTAAATCTTCAATATGGTTGCCACTTAAATCAAGTATCTTTAAACTGGGAAGATCTCCTATTGATGCCGGTAACTCTGTTATGTTGTTTTGGCTCAAATTCAAAATCCCGAGTTTCATCAATGACCCAATGTCATCTGGAAGACTTGTAAGATTGTTATCTCCCAGCTCAAGCACTTTGAGGTTCTTCATACAACTAAGTGACTTGGGTAAAGTCGACAATCTATTCTCATCCAGCCGTAATTCTAATAACTGCTCCCCGAATCCTTCTTTCCAAGAGTCGATTCCATTGCCCGTGGCATCCACCATTTCCAAGTGACGAAGCTTTGACAAGAACAGAGGCAGTTCACGAAGACAATTTTCGTTTAGGTGCAGACGCTGCAAATTTTCAAGCTCTTGGATTGTTTCTGGCAATTCTTTCAACTGGTTACCCGTAGCAGATAACACTCTCAATGCAGATAAACGAGAAATTTCCGCCGGCAAGACTTGGAAGTCGTTGTAGTCGAGATTCAAAACGGTGACATAAACGAGAGTTTCTGAGAAAAACTCAACAGGTAAAATATCCAGCTCCAAAGAGGACAGTTCTAGAGATGTTTCTCCATTCAAAACAGCTTTCTCCACGATCTCCTTTGCTTCTTCCATTAAAAATGAATACGACGACAAAATACTACAATGCTTCTCTGACAGAACATGTGCGTTGTGTTTGACCTCGTCTTGAAGAGGCGACACAAGCCCTAGGACGAAAGACGAGGGGAGGGGACCCCCGACATCCGGCCCCGACTATATCGACTATGGTTCTCGCTCAGCGGTGAAAAATGCAAAGCGGTGTAACATCTTTGACACAAATAAAATCGCCATAGCTCTTACTGGGTTTTCTTTTTAGTGCAGTCTTCGCTAGCCTGGCTACCGGAGGTTTTTTCTCGCTTGCGGTCATTGCGGCGGAGACGGTTCGGGGTTTAAAGCCCAAAGACAGACTTTCGAGACAGGAAGTTTCCGGCACCCGGGGGAACTCTCCTTTTAGATAAAGCCTGACAACTTGGTTTGCTTTGTTTCATGAAACACTTTACAAAGGACACCGGCTTTAAGTTTCAGTGTAGACCCAAAAAAGTGCGACACAAAGAAGTTAATTTGAGCAAATACCCTGTATGGTCAAAAACTGGGGAAAAAGATGCGTCTTCACAAGTCAAATTTGTTGGGATAAGTGTTTCCAAATTTGTTCAGATTTAATGTAGTGTGGTCAGGATGTCAAAGAATCTTAATCCTACCTCGATATTTCCATTAAGGAGTCTTTATTAAGCTCTTATCTTTTCAAAGGTAATAATGTAGGTATCAATGTTTAGATGGAGGGGGGAAGCGGGGGTGGGGTGGGGAGGCGGACATAGTTGCGACATTTGAACACTTTTTTTGTCCCCACTCTCTGGGGATTTTGACTACAAATTTCGTCCCAGACTGCAGCTTTGTTAAACACAGAAAGGGATATTTTATCAGCTTGAACAATGTTCCAGTCCTGAGAGTGGGGAATTTGACTGAAAAGATGCTAAAAAATTCAATTGCCACACCTTTGCCCACAACCCCCTCACCATCCAAACACTGATACCTGCATAAATGGATATTTCCCTTCATGTTGACTTTTTATGTTGAGAATAAGGTGGAAATTATTGAGTAGGGCCAGGTAAAAGAGACACTTTTGGGGGGTTCCTAAAGAAACTTTTAATGTGCCTGGAAGGAGAACTAATGAGCTGAAAGCCATAACAACATTCTTGGGTGTAACTGGTTGTTCACCTCTTGCCTGTGTTTGAAGTTGATTTATTTAGTTGTTCATTTATTTATGGCAACATGCTCTTTATGAGATTAAGTAGACATAGTTAAATCCCAAAGTGATCTTACCTCTTTGAACTTTTAAGAAACTCACAGTCCTAATTTTATGCCTCATAAGAAGTACCCATTTTGGTTTTTATTTTTTGTTTGTTTATTTCGTTTCACATAAACTTATCATCATCATCATCATCATCATCATCATCATCATCATCATCATCATCAGCATCTATCATCATCATTATTATTCTCATATGCATTTTAGCTGGCAATTATAGAGACACTGCATTTATTCTTGAGAAATGTCAACCCCAAAGAATTTCTTTTGGTAAAGTGTATCATTTCCCATGCCAATTTCATAAATCCATTATGACAGGTTTTTACCACCATATTCTTGTCCAACCTGCTTCGCTGTCACTCAGCGCTGATTAGCTACACTTTTTTATTCCCAAGACTTTGAAGACGACTCACAGCCATTCCATACCACTCTTCACATTCTATATTCACCATGTTGTTTCCAAGCTGAAGCATTTCCTTCACACAAAGCTTTGACTGCTCTCCTATAAGCTTCATCTGGGGTGAATCCCACTAGTTTTGTTCCATAAAGGTTGACACCTTTTTTTGCTGCTATTTCTCTTACGCAGGCTTCTATCTGATCTGGACTTGTGTATTGAAAATTTCCCTCACTTGAAAGTTCCTACAAAGAAATATCAGTACCATGGGGAGTTGAATCAAATATTATTTCTTTACACCTACAACATACTGGATTGTAAGTCTCTTTGTCACCGTGTAAATAAAGAAACAAATTTCTCAAGTTTATTTTTTAGATATGTTTCTTTGAACAACAAGTGACACATTAAGGAGCTTAAGCAACCAAGGGGATGACTATAAACATGTAGAATAAGAAAGTTTCACGTCCTTCATGTAGCCATTCATTAGACTTGGGGTAGAAGACCTCAAAGAGATGTACCAAAAAGTGTGATAGACCTGCAGTGCTGTTTTACTTTTTAGCTCATAACACCTATTTTTTTATTGCTGGGGACATTTTACAGGCATGTGACACTTACTTGAGGGACTTGTGTGTTAATGATTTATCCCATTTAGTGCAGCACCTTTTTTAGGATGGTGCCCATTTAAGTCAAGAATGGTCCTTTTTCAAGTACATACCTTTGAGGCCTCAACATTACAGGCAATTTCCACTCTCTCCTCATGCTCAAATGCCATTGACTGTACACCAGCTAGTCCACCAGGCGTTGATGCACGAATAGCCTTGGCGATTTCCCTGCCGAGATTCAGGTCTTGACAGTCAATAGTGACATTACAGTTGGTCACATATGGGATAGCACCCACCCCTGTGCAACCATACCTTGGGGAGGGAGGGGTACCAAGATCCCATCCCACCCTACCGAAATCCATCCCATGTTTACCATCGTACCAGTTGACCGCTTTGCGTCTTTCCACTAATCCTCTCAACAAAGGCTGATCAGCATAACCAAACAGAAACACAGAGGTGCCATCGATGGCACTGACCAGCCTTCTTGCTAGGTGCAGTGCTACGTCCCCGCATTCTGCTACAGTCACGCTAGTGGTTATGGTGTGAATTGGGATGAGGTCAACAGAACCCAATCTCGGATGTCCCCCAGAATGTTTCTCCAGGTTAATCTCGCTGTAGGCAACTTCACAGGCTCGGAAGACACTTTCTTCGATGTTTTCTACTGGTGCTGCAATCGTAATCACAGATCTGTTGTAATCGTAATCGGAGAATATGTTTAAAACTGTCGACGAGCATTTCAAAAGACTGTTTTTGCACTCGGAGGGGAAATTAATCGCGGCATTGGCCACCGATTCCACTAAGGCTCTGTTTCGAGCTTCGGAAATGTTCAATAAACATGCCACAAGACGAAGAGACGGTACAGAACGACTAATCTGGTTCATTTCTTCCAAACCAAGAAGGTGCTTTTTAAAGCATTGTTCCCATTGGTTGTCGTATTTCGCGGGTAAAATTAACCAATTGAAAGGCTTGACAAAAGAGAACGACTTCACTTCATCAGCGGTTTTCCTTACAAAAGTAATGGCGAATGTATGAACAACCATTCGATTGCATTGAAAATGTCTAGTTTTGTTCGAATTCGTCTTAGTTTTCAACGTTCTTTGCCCCTAGCTGAGACACAGAACTGCTGGTTTCTCTTTGATACCTCCACATGCAGTACAATCGCTGATTTAGAGTATTTAATCAAAGAAAGATTTGGAGGGCAATCCAAGAGAGAAAGATCATTTCAAGTGATAAATCTCTACCTGGATGACTACCTCCTGCCGTCACAAGAGAAGATTGAGATTATCCAGCAAAATGATAACATAAGGTGTGTGTTTTCGATCTGAACTCTTTAATTTTCGACTTTTATCTAGATTTTGAAAGTAGTCAGTACATGCATGACCTTATGTATGCATCAGTCAATTCCCGCTGAACGCTGTTGGATGAGCCAGTCTGCCAATCTGCTTTTGTTGCCAGTCCACTCCTTGATTAGCTGTGTTTGGATTTTGGGTTAAAAATACCTGTATGTAAAAAGCTCAGGGGTGTCCCTAGGGTTGGGAAATGCCTGACGCCTGGTTTTGCAAAATTTGCTAATACCTGACCCCCGGGGCTGACAAGGTGTGCAGATGCCCCACGTTTCCCTGGTGGTGGGGATGGCCATAGCTGGAATTGATTGATGCATTACGACACTTACAATGAGTGTTCAAATTAAGAAAAAAATTAGTATTGTGAACCAGTTTTGCTGACTGGTCAGTAGAAAATATTTTGCCTATTGCTTTTTGTAATGAATGCCTCTTTGATCTCAATATCATCCAATTCATCATCATCATGTCTCATCGCACCAGTAGGTTTATAAGGCCAATATCATCCAATTACCTGGTTGATTTTTAAGCCCCTATTACCAACAGGACAACTTTGTATGTCTAAGAAATAGTAACTGTTGAAATTTTAATTTGGGATGGCCATGGCTGTCTTTTGTTAATTTGAGGGGACGATCTCTATATATAAACAACTCAAGTTAGTTAAGTGCATGCACAAAATGATGAGTTTAAAAAAAATTACAGTCTTTTTTAAGTTTATAATTTGTACATCAAATAACAGAGTGGAATTGGAACAAGCCAGTAAAAAGCATTCAAGAGAAAATGAGAAGAATTTGAAAGGTGAGAGGAAGTTTCACATTGTTAATAACCATTATGTATAAGAAAAATTCTCTTTATTGTAATTATAAGCAATTGCTGGATGAGGGTGCAGAGCCAAGCATTGGTATTGTAAGTGGCATAACACTTTGAGAGATGCTGACAAATAGAGATGTTTATTGTTGACATTGCTTATGTCCTGTGCTATTTTTGAAGTAGTTAGTGGCAAAAAGGTGTATTTTTGACTGCAATAATTTGACAGATAATACAGACACCTGTTAATACCTCACTTTCTATAGCTGTCCTCTCAATGTCCCTTTTGGGGTATGACTCTACTTACATGTTGCTGATACTTTGCTTTACTATCTACAAACTGTATGTGTTTTTTTTGTTTTTATTTTAAGATGTCAGAACAAAGGTGAAAAGAAAACAGAAAACCACTGTCTTGCAAGTCAACAGGTACAGTATTAACTACTCTTTACTTTATTGAATTCACCCGGGTGACTCAACATGGTGACAGGAGATGAAACAGGCCTAAGGTCCCAACTGATATCCACCCCTTTGTTACCCACCCAGCCCATGAAAGGTTGTACCACACCACCAGGGTTTACACCCCCTACATTTTACAGACAGCAGTGTGAGTTCTTCAACGTCCCACAAGAATCAGAACATTGAAAGAGCTGTGAGACAGGACCTACAGTTTTTCATTCTTATCTGAGAAGACTAGAAATATATCTCAAACCATGTCTGGATGTCACATCAAAGGCAGCACATTTTCCTCAGTTATTTTAAGACCTTAAGTGTTTGTCTGGCCAGGATTTGAACCCGCAACCTCCTGCTCAGCAGACCAGCACTTATCCAATTGAGCTAATCAGGCCGCAGTTGTTTTTGGTAAAAAATGGAGGGTGAAGACTTATAGAGGGTGAAGTGGAGTAGCAAATTAAAATTATCATGGTAACATCCTAATGTTATAACAGATAAACAACCCATTCTAACTTGAAATACTCCAGATTTAAAGCACAGTACTCTGACATCTCAGAAACTCTCCCTCCCTTAACATTGAATAGCGATGATCAGTAGTTTTTTGTTTGCCATATATATTTAAGTGACAGTCTTCTTGATTTGTTGTAACAGAAGACACCTATTGTGTGTTTCTGTGAAAATGTCAGACATTGCCAGTTATAGTGAAGAAGTTGCTGATTATGTTAACTGTTAATCTAATTGCAGACAAATGTAATTATGCTTTAACAATAGTTTCTTTACTTTTTTGCCCTGAAGGGACAAATCAAAGAAAAAATTAAAAAGAAAGAGCTCCTGCCCTTCAACAAGTTATACTGAAGCCCAAAACCAGTCAGATGAGTTGCCCAAAGGAAAGAGCAGTGTGAAATTCAAAAACAGCAATCCATCTGAGGCAAAACTTGGGAAGTCAAATGTAGCCAAGAGAAAAAATGATGCTGAGCCTTTGAAAAGTAATGTGAAAAAAAGTAAGACAAGTACAAATAGAATGGGAGATGTTCTTGTTAGTAAGGATGTTGTTCCAAGAGAAAATATTTTCTCTGAGACTTCCATTACTGCAGAGTCATTGATGGAGTCATCTAAAGATTCAGGACCTTCGATGTCACATTCAAAGTTTCATACCACTCTGAATGGTGTTAAATTAATAGCCTTAAAAGCTGATGGCAAAAACAGCAAACATTCAGGACAGGGAACAAAAAGCAACTCATTGCCACCATCAAAAAGAACCAAAGGGAAGGCTGCCAATGCTGTAACATCAAAGTCATCAGCATTACAGGAAAGAAGTAAAGGAAAGTCTGTGGCAAAGCCATCATCATCATCTTCGACATCTTTATTGTCATCAATAACTTGTGAAACTAGACGAACTGAAGAGTCAGAAAGGACATCAACAAAAGCTGCTAATAAGAAGTATGTGTCAAGAACAACCAATGAAAAGGAACGTGCAAAATCAGGGAGACTTAATGCAAAAAATGGTCATTCAAAGATGGAGAAAATGTCATCTTCATTATTATCGTCATCATCATCATCATCATCATCATCACCAAGTTCAAGTGAAAGTGAAGAGGATTCTGCCTCAAGGGAAATTTTCAAGGAAGCTAACACATTACCGTATTCATTATGTTCACCATTGTTACAACTGTCATCTTCTTCGTCAATTAGTTTTGCACATGGCAGCAATCAGGGAGATAATACTGTACCATATGTCAAGAACTCTCTGGGTTTTAACTCAACTGAAAAGACTAAAGATACTGAAATGGTGAAGAATTTGCAAAGATCCAGGAGAAGCCAAAATGGAAAGTCAGGTTAGTCAAGTTCAAGTACTACTACTAATAATATTATTAGTGCAACAATAATACAACCATAACTATCAATACAGAGATTAATTGCTTTGAATTTCAATTATCTAAATAGATTGTTTGTATCTGTCAATGCTGGTGAAAGTGATAACATGGTACAGTTGAAGCTGTTGTTATGACCTCTTTCGTAAGCAGACAGCTTTAGTTACAACCAGCATTGTGAAACCCTGCATGAACTGTGACTCAAGCTTTCTAATGAAAAGTTCTTGTTGGCAACCACTCAGTAAACACTTGAATAAAAGGACTTACTCCTTGCTCAAGTTTAGTTTCTTTTTTTTTGTTTAAGATTATGTTTATGGTGAGTTAACCAGTTTAAAAAAATATTAAATCAATGAAAAACACAAACCACAACATAATTATTTTCATGCACCGTTAACTTTTTTAATTAGTACAATTTTATTTTAGGCTCTGGACACATAAGGTTTGATTCAGAGGACGATACCTTTGAAGAAGAAGAGGAAAGCTGCTTGGAGATTAACATCACAGGTTCTCTTGATAGCTCATCAGTACCTTATCAAACTCATTTGACAGCTAGTTCACAGGATGATCAGACAAGTTCCATATTAATTACTAATAAAAAACAGGTAACTATGCTTAGTGCAACATTTCTATTTGGGTATTGTTAAGTTACGCTGGGGTTACGCGAGTCTTATTGGGACAAGCCCAAGTTACCTTAACAATAGATTGTGGATGCTTCAAACAGTAACACCTCCCTATTATGCAGTCATGTCCTATACACGCCACTAGATTATGGTGGACATAGAATGGAGTCCACTGGAGTTACTAGAAGTCTTGTTGTGAAAATGAAACTGGAAATTAAAACAAATTTAACCTTCCCAGTTTTTTCGAAGGCCGATTAGTGCTAACCTGTGGTTAAATTTTATTCTGGGTTTCCTTGTCTGTTGTTCAAAAGCATTTTCTCGGATAATTTTCTCTTTTATTTTTCAAGCATCCAATCGTAAAATTGTAGACAAAAAGATTTCAACTGAATTTTCTTTCTAAGCTTTCCTCTGAATGAAAATTTTGCACTAACTCCAGGTTATCTAAACCCAGCTTTGAACAACCCGGCTCAGTAAAAGAAAAAAATCGTCCCCGGAAATTCGAGTGGTAAATGGAGTTACCGTAAATCAAAGTCGTGAGAAGAAACCGAAAGTAAAACAATTTAACCTTGAGTTGGGTAGAAAAGTCATCCAATGGAGTCCATCAGAGTTCACGGGAAACACATCGAGTGCATGGAGTTACCCGAGGTCTAGACATGAGATGAAAGCAGAGGTCTAGACATTTTAACATCTGTGAGGCGAAAATAGTTGTCCAGTGGAGTGCATTGGAGTCCACTGGAGTTATGGAAAGTCTGTTGGCAAAATACCTTGTTCTGTTAGCCATGACCACAAGTGTATTTGCCTCTTTTTTTGACGAAGGAGAACAATTACCTTTTTTTTTTATTGGTGCTGTATTTTTGTCACCTTTGTGAGTTCTCTTGCACATGTAGAGTCAGAAGTTAAAATATAGTCAACAACAACAACAACGACAACATTAAAATCAAAGACTTTATCTATTCTTACCAGCGAATAACCAAGATTATGAACCTTTTGTTATCTAGTTATTTGTCAGATTATGCATCCTTTTTTGCTTCTCTTTGTTAACAGGAACCATCTCGGCGAGATTACAGTCTTTGCACTCCACTCCACGGTCCGCCACGAAGTAAAGACAAGATAGCCTACAAGGTTAGTGTGGGTTGGCGGAATAAGAAACTTTGGTACTGGATAGGTTTGAGTCACTTTTACGGCAAACAGTAAACGGCAGACTCAAGTTGAGAATTTTTCTAAATAGAACATGAGCATATCAATAAAAACAGCACACTTACCGTAAGTACGCTTATTATAATGAATAAAGTTCGCAGTTACCTCTGTCTACTTTACTTACATCCTGAAAAAAGTGGCAACACGGCTGTCGAACATTTCTGGCGGGATTTCAGTTGGTTTGTTGTTTCGAAGAGGTGGATCCATCTCGGTCTTTTCAACACTGGATAGCTGTTGCTCTAACTTCTCTGTCCGTTGTAGTCTGTTTGATTTCGTTTGTATTACTTTTAATTTGTAACTTTGACATCCTAAAAGTCTGAATGGAAGTTAAAACTGAGGTTTTATAGTGGTGTAAAAGTTTTGGCTGTCGGTACCTGCTTTATTTTTCGGCGGGAAAATGTAAAGTAGGCCGCAAGCATCGCCGGGATTTTTTCGTTATGCAATGGGTTTTCGTGCTTTCTGATTGGCTGTATTAAACAGTGTTCAAAATTATTCATCTAACGGGGAAGTAGTGAGATACTTTTTTATGCCTTGTTTTCTATATATGTCGACGTCATTTTAGCGGAATGATGATTTTCATTTAATACTAATTTGAAAATTCCTCCTTTTAACAGGTGCTGGAATTATCAGCATCCTACACACCTGAAGTCTCAGACTACAAGGTACATATAAGATTCTGGGAAACTGTATCCACCTACCCTTCCCCTAACCCAACATTTTGTCGTAAGTGAGAAGTTAGTGTTAACGTTGGGTTAAGGGAGGGGTAGGGGGGACAGTGCCGCAAAAAACATGTCCATTAAACATCAGACTGTACTGTTTTCAAAAGTTCAGTTTTATCGGTCGGTAGCCTCAGTAGAAATTCCATACTGATATCACTACCCAGATCTGGGTGGAGCTTCTGATTGGTTGAAGCAAATTTTCACATGTGCGTTTTTTTCCCTCTACCTGCTACGCAGGCTAACGTCTCTCCTGCGACACGTCTCTAGCGGCGAGTGGCGAAAAGAGACGGCAATATTCGTAGGCTATACTGCTCAATCGGTAGAGCGCTTCACTGCAGAGGGGAAGATCGCGGGTTCGATTCCCGGGGCCGGGCAATTACTTAGGGTGTTAAAATAACTAAGAAATGAAGGTACTCCCTTTGCACTGTAAGCGGCTAGACCTTCGCGTGGCTCGGATGACCACGTAAAATGGCCGTCCCGTTTCCAGTAGGAGAGGTTAAAACTAGTGTCCCCAGTTAGTAGTTCGGTGCTAAATACATTGACACTCAAATAAGGCACATTTTTTTTAGACTAAACTTGGCGAGCGTCAGTTGCGGATGTAACAGTCTGAAACAGTGTTTCACTTGGTTAAGATTAGCCAGCGCAGTATGCAAATTTAATTGGCTTAATCCTCTCTTTTCCGTGAGTGTCTTTCTATTTCCCTTCCGTATGTGCGTTACGTCATTTATTTGGATCCTGCGAATACCTGGTTATCTCTCTTCTGTTTTGTTCATCATACAGGAAGGTACTGTTCTGTCTTATGACCCAATTAGTGGAGCTGTTAGTGTTGAACTTACAAAGGAATCACTGAAAAAGACCCAAGGTAAATTTGGTGTGGTGCAGAAAGTGAATGATTAAGTGAATGTCAACAGCGCTTTCAGGCTACGGATGGAAAATTCGTGCGTTTAAGTGTTTCGTTCAGACGGAAACACTCTAAATGTGCGAAAGTTTAGACACCTAGCCGTTCAGCCGTTATGGTCAATCAAAAAATTTGACTGGCGCGGTGTGAACACCATAACGTTTTAAAATTTTTGTGTGGCAAAGGCGTGGTTGCATCGATGCGTGGTAACTCAGCTGGGAGACGCCAATTGGATTTGCTAAAGTAGTGTTCTCCGCATGGACAGATGCTAAAACCTCAGAGAATAATTAAAATTTGCCTTATCCGTCAGTTCCGTGTGAACAGAGTGAAAACATTGAACGGTTCCATGTGAACGCAGCGTTAGGTGCGGTCACACCACTGCAACTGCCGAATAAGTCAACATCTCCTGTCTTGTTTTCTTCCCACTTCATTTGTGGTAACGTGACGCGATGGTACGGCAAACGTGGTGTTTAACCTCTCTCCCTATTGTCATTATCGTTTCCTTGTACATAAACATGTAAATTTATCTGGATAAGAGATACACACACAGTTTTCGTGACAGTTGATTTTGTTATAGCCGTCTTTTGACCAAAGACAAATAGGTCAGCGCTATCGTAGCCGCTATACATTTATCATTTTAATTAAAACGTATACAGTATTTGATATTGATGTCCGTCCTTTGGATATTCTCATTGTTGCTAAGAATGGCAATGAAATTCATCTTCTAAAAAGTGTTCTTTTGTTTGCTTCAGGCGATGGAAACGTTTCCAGAAAGTTTGAACTTGATGATGGCGAAAGTGAAGAAGCAGACTCGGAGGTACACTTTAAATTTGGTAGACAATCAGAGATGGCGTTAGCCTGAAAATACAGCCGCTTCTCTGGCCTGCCTCTCTCGCTAAATAACCCAGCAACTAAAGACTCAGAGACGGCTGTATTCGCAGGCTTCTGATGGCGTAGCTTACACAGCGAAAAAAAATAAACGGTGTTACATATAAATCAGGCGCATCTGAAGGAACGCAATGAAAAAAAAAATAATGTTATGCACACCAAACTGTTTTGGTGGTAATCGTCTCATCTTATCGTTTTTTAGGTAGTGGTGCAATGGTCTTCTATGCTAGATCCCGTGTTAATCAGCGACTGATATCGGATTTACCACGGGATAGAGGCAGACGGGGACAAATAAATTGTTCAAAAGACGCAGATTCAACATGAACTTCTGCAAAGAAAGGTTCCTTGCCTAACCTTAAATTCCTCAACTCTCAGATACATCAGGGGATATGTTTCACAGACCTGACCGGCTTTGGAATACGTCTCGTTGTCTGCACTGTCGGGACAGACTTTTTGTTCCCCGCAAAATTTTTGTTTTTAGTTTTTCATTTTAAAAACAGTGTCGCTTAAGGGAGCTTGTGCCTGCGTCATTTTACTACTTTTCACACTAATCTAGCTGTCCTGGCGTTAGTATTGGTAGGCATTTAGTTTCTTCTGACAATATTCTGAATGTTAGAACAGTTTGAGAAAAACATATTAAAGGATACTTCAATTGTATTATGCACAATTAGAGACAGCGTTGCCCGTGCTCGTTAAACATGTTTCCTGAGCTTCTTTTTAAGTTAGTTTTAAAAAGAAAACCGGGGAACAATTTCTAGTAGCCAGTTTCGCAGACACTCTAATTCTGGTACCGTGACGTTACCTTTTTTAAGAAATCTCTATGTTGTGTTAAGTTTCGGCAGAAACTATTTTGTTGAGGTGAGGATCTGAAGTTTAGACCGCGGAGATGTAAGAACCGTCAGTTTCACGACTGTCACGTGCTCCCCTCTTAAAATATAGTCTATATTGATTGATTGAACCAATGAAGTTCTAAAAAAGATTGGACATCCGATCTGTAAGTTGTTTAAATCAGAATGATTTATCCTCGAACCATCCCTTTTGATTTCAGCTAAACAGCTAAATTACGCCTTGTAGTGGCTGGTAGCAATGTACCCCTTTGTAACGTAACTCTTTTGTAACCATATAAGTGAAAACACTTTTTTTTATTAAACACAAGATTTTCCAGCTACCTTGCGACCCATTGTGTTTGTTTTAATGCACGCGTGCTCGTGTGAAATCTTTCTCAAGTTTTTCTTTGACGAACAAATAAAAACTTCCATATTTTCCATGTACCCTTCCTAAAAAAACCTAAGAAAAGAGAGTGCTAGAAAGCGTAAATCTTATTTTCGGAAGGGAATTGAACGCAAGTAATTTCTTAGTTACGACTGCCTCATCACCAGTTGCTCACGATCGCACATTTGGAGATATTTTAGTGGGGAGCTTAGCCAATCACAACGGCCACGGCGGCGAAAACGCGAAATGATGGCAAAGAAATGTCCAAAAAAAAAAGCAATGCGCGTGCAAAGTTGTTATTCTGTTTATCTAAATCTAGTTGCTGACAGATGCCCATCACGTGCACGCGACCATCACGCGTTGTTCGCGTGCCTCCGGGACCTCGCTTTTACTGTCTCTGCTCCATGTTCAGCCATGAGAAATCCGTGGGGGAGGCGGTAGATTTAATTGTCACTATTTTGTATTCTCTGAGTCGGATGGTACTGGTCAGTACATGCACAGAACCGGGGAGAATGCGTCAAGTAGTTGTTTACAAGAGGGTAAAAGGGCTTTGAGTGGAAAAATTTTGGTGTTTTGAATAGTAATTTTGTATAGCTGGCACCGGCCCCTGCAATAAATACGTAAAACTGAGATCTTTCAGGTTCCATTTCTTGGAAACTAATGAAACTGAATCTCATTTCTGGGAGTTGCCAATTACTTTAAACGTAGAGTCCAAAAACGGTGGTTTGTTGTGTTCTTAGCCTGTGAAACGTCATCTCCACTTTTTTCGTCTGATAAAAAACTTTATTGCTTAGCTGTCAAAAATGTTTGCAACTGTCAATTGTCTTTAGCGAAATGTATTCATTGCGTATACTGAAAGCTATTACAGAACTATCCTGCTTGATTCACACTGTGCGGAAATAAAGTCTTCTTAATTTCCCAAGAAAAACTCTGAGCTAAACACTCTGACGCTTTTCTTGTTTATTATAATTATCTAAAAATAATGTTTCTTCTGATTTTGCCCTTTTCTTAAATGTCACTAACTTATTTTTTTGTCCCCGTTCATCAAAATTTAGTTAATCGAAGATCATCTTCGTTTTGCAAACTTTATACCATTATTTATATTTTGGGAAGGGGAAGGCAACCCTCTGAGACTGTCGTGTGTTTTTGCAATGTTTAGTAAACAAGCAATTTTGTTTATTAAGTTTAATAGCACGATAATCCAGACTTATTTTGATCGGCACGGAACACCTTTGATCTACAGGCCATTCGGATTCTTTAAAACTTAAGCCCGTTGACCCAGATAGAGAAAGACGCCGTTTAAAGCTACTTCGGAAACGATTCCCGATTTAAAGTTGTTTCAGTGCTTTTTATGTTTTGTCTTTGTTGTGTTTTCTGGTACAAATTAAATACGGCGGCATTCCACTTTCTCGAAACTACTCAGTGGGGAGAGAAGGAAATTGGTTTGAATTCATCACGACAAAATTACAGTATTTGACTGGGAAAGGGTAGTCTGGCAGTTTTGGCTTTAATTATAAGAAGTTAAAGTAACAGTCACCCGAAATCGGGATTCTGGAGTGTGCATAATTTGTTTTATTATATACTTTATGCAACTGAAAGCCCCCGACAAGGGACCATCACCACCCCCCATGACTATTACCTGACCACGTGAGACTGATTGCTTCTGTTCCTAAATTTCTTTGAAATTAACCGAGATCGTTCACTTCTGATCAACTGAAAAACATTTCATTTCGGTCACGCAATGCTTAAAACTTGGAGTTGCGTTACAATGTATCTGCATGACCTCAATCGTTACTTAAATTTACTGTGCAACTGACCGAGGAAATTTACTCAGCACCATGTAGTTCCAGGTCCCCCTCCAATTCTACTCCCATTCTCCTCCCATCTGCTTTATGGACGGTAAGTCGCTGTCTGTTTGTATTGATAATGCCATGACATTAGACAATTACTTCTAGACCTTCTACCTTAGCAATCCAAGTATCTTTTTTTATCGATATTTTTTTGTCATGTTTCTCGCCAGACTATTCAAATTTGGAAGTTGTTGATCAAAGCAGGTATGGTGAATTGCTGAATTATGAGTGTGCCAGTGAGCGTAATATGCAGTTACATAAACTGGGTTATAAATAGCGCTTTGTTTCTGATTTTTAAATTTCATATTTTTTTGTGTTTGGGCCCTTTATCTCTTTTCCACCTAGGTTTGGATGATAAAAATTTTTTGAGTCTGTTATTTCACCCTTTGTTCAATTACGCGAGATGTTGATGAAGTCGAGTTAATAATTTCAGTGAAATTTTTGACCATTCTTGGTAACAAATTAACTTTACTAGCGACGGGATTGAAGGGGTAGTCGCTGCGAAAATCTTGACATTCGGCCCATCGCGGCCGCCTTCCGTATGGAAATTTTTCATTTTTTGATATTCAAATGCCTGAAAGTTGTAATCCTCATAATGCAAGAAATATTTCTTAAAAAAATACTATTTAGACAAAAATTTTTTTCTGTGCTCGCAGCCTGCTCAGCATATTTGCCGGTTTTTTCTTGAGCTGATATGACAAGTCACGTGGTTGATTAAACCAATCACGTCGATTCCTCCTGTACCCTTCCCATGATGCTTTGGTTTGTCTATGTTGTGGTGCGCGCGCGTTTGGTTTTTCACGTCCCCAAAACAACATGTCGTCCACCGATCCTGTAATGACTTCTCCAAGTACCATCATTTCTTCCGACAATAAATTAGCTGTCTTTTCTCAAACTCAACCTGAGAAGCCTTTCCACTACACGTAAGTGTGTTCGAGATTTTCTGTGTCTAGCTTTCGCTAGTATGTGTTGTCATAATTTTTTTTCCTTTCGAATCGTCCAGGTACCTGAAAGAGTTTCGGGTCGAGCAATGTCCGCTATTTCTACAACACAAGTGTACAGCTCACAGACCGTTCACCTGCTTTCACTGGCATTTCATGAATCAGCGAAGGAGGAGACCGAAAAAGAAAAGGGATGGCACTTTTAACTATAGTCCTGATGTCTACTGCACTCAGTACGATGAAACATCAGGGATTTGCCCTTCGGGTGACGAGTATGTACCAGGGATTTTCTCTTGCTTTTACCTCGTTTATTTGCAGAGTGAAAACGAAATGGCCGCTTGTTTGTGATGTGATCGATCAATTTGTGACTTAAGTTCCTTTTCTCTTTCAGTTGTCCCTACTTACACCGTGTAGCTGGCGATGTGGAACGTCGCTACCATCTTCGATACTACAAAACTGCAACCTGTGTTCACGAGACCGATACTCGTGGATATTGTGTAAAAAATGGCCCACATTGTGCGTTTGCTCATGGACCTCTTGATCTAAGGCAACCTGTGTATGATATACGAGAACTGCAAGCCATAGAAAAGGAAGAAACTGATGTTGGACAGGCAGGAATCGAAAATAATAAAGCAGTTCTAGAAGATCCCCGCTGGCAAGGTCTGTAAAGTACTGTACGTTGCTTAAATGTACACAAGTGCTATCTCTTTTACACTTTCTTTATGGTTTGTTTAGCAGCCGTAAAATATACAGTTTAAGTCTTTTCTCGCGGGTATCCATTTTTTAATGTGTTAAATAAGTTTAACCTTTAAAGACCTATGGTGCGACCCTGAAATTTAGATAGAGTTTAATTGCATAGTAGTTCACTATATTTTTTTTCCTGATTTGTGACGAAAACAACATTTATAACAGCTTGCTGCTGGAATCTCATTTTTTGTCCGTAAATTATAATAGCTGATTCGCTTCCTACGCGATAACAAACACTAATGTGATGGAAATTTTCTCTGCTGTTTAACAAAGTTGTAGTTCTAACAGTGTTATTCATTATTTATGGATTCTTCCATTGTCTTTACGGTTTAAATCTGATCGCAGTTAATCTTTAATCTCCACAAATTTTATTTGACGTTGAGGATTTCCCATGTTATACGCCGCCTAATGCCAAGTATATGAGCTTGTTCTTCTTTCTTTGGTCTTGTAAAAATAGCCCAACGAAAGGCTGTTTATCAAACTACCGAGTGGAATTGTTTTAGTGTATGTAATATTTTGTTCAAAAATTGTGTGTTGGTACAACGTTATATTGGTGTTTTTAATGGCATTATTGGTGAATTGCCTTGAAAAATCTCCAGTCATTCAGTTAAAACTAAACCACAATAATTTGCCATTGCATTTCAGATACCAACTATGTTTTATCAAATTATAAGACAGAACCATGCAAAAAACCACCCAGGCTATGCCGACAGGGCTATGCTTGTCCTCATTATCACAATACTAGGGATCGTCGGCGCAGTCCAAGAAAATTTCGGTATAGGTGAGTGTGCTGAGACAGATCTTTAGGAGACTGAAATTTTATTCTCTATCAAAAACTGCTCAGATGACCGTTATGACCAGGAAATTGGAGATTTCCTTTACAACTTGAGAGGCATTAGGGCATTGTTTTATAAGTACCAGGGAAGCAAAAGGCCATGTTTTTTTCATGACAGCCACATAATTTCACTGCAACACATGAGTACTGTGACAGTAGGGAACAGGAACGTGTTTTATTGACAACAACCTTCTTCTCTATTTACTCTTGTTTAAGCTTAGCACAAAAATAAGAGTGGTTTGTCTTTAGAATTTATTGACAAATGTGACATATGCGAGTGAGATTCACTTGTGTGGGAAAAATAAACTACAGCTATCACCTTGACCCATGTATAACCTGTATAAACTTTTTTCTCATTGTTAGGTCCACTCCTTGTCCTCATGTTAAACACGGTGATGAATGGGGAGAACCAACAAATTGTGACAGTGGGGATAATTGCCCATATTGTCACACAAGAACAGAGCAACAATTTCATCCTGAGGTAGGCAATGTCTCTTTACAACACCACAAACCTGTCCATGTAACATATATACAGTCAATTGTCTCTATAGTGGACAGCATGGGGACCTCTAGCTAGTGTCCTCGTTAGCAAGAGTCCTTAATAGCAGGAGTCTATTTCAGTCGAGCTTCTGCAAACTATTTATGGCCCAGGATTTAGCTGCTGTCCGTATTATTTGGGGTTTCTGTTATAGTGGGGTGTCCGCAATGCAATGGTTGACTATATTTTTGCACTTTTTAAGATTCCAAAAGAGCGACAGTCACTTTGATTAAAGGCCATAACTAGACAATTACTCAGAGCTGTCATTAAGAGGCAAAGGGCCAGGGATTTATCCTGGCTACTATGATTGTGGCCCTAAGCTGAAATCTTAGTGACAACCCTGATTACTGGTCATACCAGACTTGAATGGTAGTCATCTACCCCATGAAAACAACTAGTCTTTTGATAAATTCTCTTCAGGTAATGGTCCTTTTTTTGGTTGGTTAGTTTGCGTTAAGAGCACTCGTTTTCTACCATAATAATTTTATCAATTTGCCATTGAGTAGATTTGTACAAGACTACTGAATTTTGGGGAAAAGAGACATGTCAGGCACCACAAAAAAACATGCTTCATTTACTTCATGTTCATTAGCGTTCACTGGGCAGTGAAAAGAACATTTCAACACTTCAGAACAATGCAAACATCCTTCCTGCAACCCTTTGGTGCTTAAAGTTCATATGAAATTTGTTTAGCATATGGTGTGGACCACTTTCTCTGGGCAATGTTTTGAAATGGGCATAAGTCCTTTATACTTCTACTTCTACTTCTACTATATTACTTCGCAAAGCCTGTACAGCATCACGCAAAGGATCCATATATCAAGGTTGACCACAACACCGGGGTCTACGACCCCTACTCTTTACGAACAGTGTGTGGGTTCTTTAACGTCCCACAGTATTAATATAGGCAAGGATTGTGAGACGGGGCCTACGGTTTTTCGTCCTTATCCGAGAAGACTAGAAAGTCTAACCATTTGCAGATGTCATTACAAAGGCAGCACTTTCTTCTCAGTTATTGTTAAGACCCTGAGTGTTGGTCCGGCCGGGGCTTGAACCCGCGACCTCCCGCTCAACAGACCGGTGCTCTCCCAACTGAGCTAACCAGGCGGCGGTATAGTAACAGTTTATGTAAAGAAACATGATTGCTGTTAAGAGTAGCCTTGAAAGAGTTTTAAAGTAATTTTGTCTCACTTTGTACTATTATTAACAGATATACAAGTCAACAAAATGTAATGATATGCAGCAGACAGGCTATTGCCCCAGGGGACCTTTCTGTGCTTTTGCACATGTAGATCGTAAGTATTTGTTGTTTTTACTGTACAATCTCAAGCTGTCGTTACTGTAAATGATAAACGTTTGAACAAACTTGGTGAAAAAGGGAATATTGAGTGATTGCTTTAACAGAGATGTGTGTCGGCCCAGATTTATTACCAGTGCAAGGAATGAATTCTTTTATTCTGCGGTAAACAACTTGAAGAATCAGGCTGTTACTGTTTGCTAGAGTGGTCTAAAAGTAAACTTGAACTGAGAAAAGTATTAGATCTTCTCCTATGCTTATTTCTTGAGTTTGTAGGAAAAACAAACAAACAAAATATTTTTTTGTTTAATTAAGTCTCTCACTCAAACATCAATATGGTCTCTTATATGATACATGTAACTACAGTCTTTCACAGAATAAAATAGAGCAGCAAACCCCCATCCCCCTAAATCATGGATGAAGCTTTGCAAAAAGCCAAAATGTGCCATTTTTCTTTCCTTGATTTGGGGGGAAGAGAAGGGGGATATAAATTTCTCATCTATTTTGTCCAAGATTGTAGTTCTGAATTAGTGAAAAAGTAGTATACATACTGAGTTTGAACATTTGTCACTCTGCAGAAGACACAACCACTTCCAGAGAATCTAATGGTGAACCAAGTTATAGCCAGGTACAAGACTCTAACACCAAAATAAGTAACTACAAACAAGTCAGTTCTTTGGATTGAAAGTACAAAGCATTATGTTGTCAGGGGGGTAGGGGTAAGGCATAAAATTGGTTAAGCAGGTGTTAACTTTTATACAGATTCTGATAGCAAGCCCCATTAATGGGCCATTTAAGATGATGAGTGTAACCTGTCAGAGTATTATTTTTGTTTTTAAAAAGTTCCCTTTTCTCATCACCTCAAAATTAGCAAAAGGAACAGCTGTTTTATCAAATATAATCTATTGATCAGGTTACTTCCTTAAAGGAACTCTAGCTTGTTTGTCTGCATCATAGAGAGATGTCCGTTTCATGGAAATAGGGATGTTATTCATTTTTATATCTTTGAAGAGGAGTGTGTTGTAGGACAGGTACAAGTCTGTAAATTGTACTTGTAATATCTCAGTTAATATCCACGGTATTATTTTGGTTATAATACTCATGAATGGTTTGTTGTTTATATTTTTCCCCAACAGCTTTATTCAATTCCCTCATCACCCCTTAGTCCTGTTGATAATGGAGCCATCATGATGACCAGCTTAGCGCATGTAGTGAGCAGGCCTACTCGGTCCATGTCAACATCTTCAGGAGGGTCACACTCTAGTGAACCATCTACTCCCTCTAGTTTGTATCCGAAAGCTCCAGGGTCTGAACGGTCTGAGCGAAGTGGAAGCCGTGAAGATGAACAGCAGGTTGTTAGACAAAAACACCTTCTTTTTGTGTTTTTGGGTGAAGTGCATTATGTTAAGTTGCCTTCTTTTTACAAATGAATGACAATTCAGGAAATTTTATTTCAAGCTGCCTCAGCTTGGCAACATTCTGTAGTTGACCAATTTTGTGAGAAAAGAAGGCATGTCACTTGATAAATTTAAGGAAGTTTCTAATCAGTGAAGGGAAAAATTCACTTACGGCCTGGTAAAAAAAAATGTAGGCAAGGTCAGTGAAAATTGTTTTGAAGTTAGGGAAAAGCCGATAGATTTTATTTTACTTAAATGAGTTACAACTGTGTCATCGCTCAAAGTTTTTGTTTCAGTGGTTATATGGTGGTTAAGTTCAGTATTGAAAAATAAAGGTCCAGACTGTGTTAGCACAGATGAGTGCTGAAATTCTTTTTACTATAATTTTTTTCTAGGCATATATAAGAAAACAGATCTTGCAAATTGAAAATGATCCAACTTTAGATGATATTGAGAAAGCCCGAAGGAAGCAGGTATTTATGTCTTTTAGATCATGGTGTTATAGTCATGTATTTTCCTATTTAGACTGGTTAATAATCATCTATGTCAGAAGTGCATTCTTCTATTTCAAATGCAAAAATGACTACTTTCTCCTGCTAGCAGTGTTTATAGCACAGTGCTGGAGTAGAACATATGACTAACTCATAACTTCTAAGTACTTTGATGGTCAAGACAGCTGGTTTTTATATGAGGCAGGAAGTTTTGAAGATCAGCCAAAATTTGAAAAGCAGTTGCCATCTGGTTTTCTATCCTTGAGTGTAAAAGAGTCAATTGTGGATTAATTGGATGTTTCTTTTTTATTCCAGAACATTATTGGCACAAGACAAGTATTTCCTACCGGTTCCTCATCTTCTTTCTCTACCGTGTCTGCCAGTGCTCCTCCATTCTACCCTGCTGCTGATACAGTAGAGTCTGTAGTAGAGAGTGCGCTGGATGACCTAAACCTAGATGATTTTGATGTTAGCGAGCTGGAAAAAGAGCTTAACAATGCATCTCCGGTATCTTCTACACTGGGAGATTCCTTTTCAGCACTTAATATTACTCCAATGTGTTCAGCTCCTGTTACTATCCCAGGAGCAACTGAAGAGATACCACCCGGAGCCTTCACACAGTCGCCCACCTCACCATTAGGACAGTTTTCTTCTTCTTATGGCTCTGCATCACAGCTAGTCTCTGGGCAAAAGGTAATGTGTAAATATAAAGTTCCTCTCTGTTTCTAAAAATGAATACATGGCATTTAATCCTTTGCAAACTTGTTGTGGCTTTCTTTTATTAGCACTCACTACATTTAGGAGGGCACACTGCTCTTTAAACAGAGTAGAAACAGAGATATTTTTTTCTTAGAGAAAAGGAAGTTTCTGTTATACTCAGAAAACTGTACTGAGACCTGTGATTAGACACGAGGATTTCTTGTGTCACTCTAGTTAAATTTGACCTTTTTTGTACAGAAAGCAAAATATGAAATGGATATGCAATTGCACTGGTTGACTTGTTGATTTTTATTCTGAAGGGCTCTAATCCTTACCGTGCAAGTCCATTAGTGAGAGGAAGTAGCCTACATTCTACTGTTTTGGACCCACTCACAGCTCAGCTTCAGTCACCCAAGTCTCTAGGTTCTCCCCAGATGGCTTCCCCTTTGGGGCTCAGCAATAGTGCAAATGAAATTCAGCGACTAAGTGAAGATCTTATGGCTGCCAAGAACAAGCTGGCTTCCTGGGAGGAGTCCTGGGCTCAAGCCAAACAAGCCTGTGATGCTTGGAAAAAGGAGGCAGAAGAATCAGCCAAGAAAGCTAAAGAAGCTGAACAAAATAAATTAGAAGCTATTATGAAAATGGAAGAGGTAATATTCGTTGTTTAAGTACTGTAAATCCTCTATTAAGCCCCTCAGGAGGCTTATTTATTTCAAGCCCATTTGACAGGGAGCTTACTAAGATTTCAAGTTGCCGGGTAAATACAACAAGTAGGCGGGGAGTCAAATGGCTGGGGATTTCTTTTGGTTCTATTTTTGTTCTATTTTCCAATAAAAGTAGCCGGGTGCCACTCTCTTAGTAGCCGGGGAAAATCCCCGGCTCTTAATGACAACCCTGCTTTTTTGGTGGGGAAAGGGGGTGCACTTTTATAAAATTTCTGTTTGTGAACTTAATGACATCCATGGTCACCTTTATACAGCAATATTTTTCATGTGGCAGAAATTCTCCAACCCACTGTTTGTTTTATGGTATGTTTTGTAATGATGTTTTAGTGGAGGACTTAATCTGTTGTTTTTTATGAAGGTGATATGAACTGCGGAAATACAAATTTAAATGAAGATATGATTGTTGCAGTGATAATTGCAATTTAAGCTAATGCAAAGTAACCCGAAAGAAATCTTGAAATTTCAACGGCATTCGAACCCACGGCATCTGCGTTAGTCCATTAGTGAGAGAGCCCGTCAGTGATAGTTGCAATTATCACTGAGATGATCATATCGTCATTTAAATGAAGATATTTTTATTGTCTGTAGGCGGAATCTCAACTGAGCAGGTTAAAGCAGGAAATAGAAGAAATAAAAGCTGACCCTCATCTACGCACACTCAACTCCGTTGAAGATATCAGAGATTTACCTCTCTTAAAAATGAGACAGATTCATCGGCAACTTAGTTCAGATTTAGAAAAATTAAATCAGGTACATAAATTTTTATCTGATTATGTCTAGTTAAAATTTATTCTCTGTGTATCTGTTTGATAGTTTTATGCTTTTGGCTTATGTGTGTTGTTTTAGCTGCTTATGTGCATTTTCCCTGTACTTTTTAACGTTCTTATTGTTAATAAAATACCATCGAAAATGTCTTTAATGTAACAGGTTTTATGTCGAAGAAAGGATAGTGTCTAAAAGTACACATGAGTGTCACAAGAAATAATTTAAGATATTTTCCCGATGTCATAATGACAAAGTTATTTCCGGAGAATAAAAAAGTATAAAAAGATTTTATTTATTTATTTAGGTACTTAAACAGGAGCATCTGGGTGAGCTTAAAATAAAGCTTATTTATAAATTTAACAGCCTTTGTAAAAAAAAGATAGATTAAAGAAAAATTATAAAAACAGCACACCATGAAAATACATAGAGACAGACAAGAATTAACAAGACCAAGCACACTGTAGCTTGAATTGTGATTTCTATTTTTCTGTTTCCTTTTTAGGTTATGTACAGTAGAATAGCCCTAGTTTGCAGTCTTTGTGAAGAACATCAGAGATGCATCATGACAGCTCCATGCTTACATTGTACCATGTGTGAGACATGTGCTTCACAGAGAGTTGAATGCCCAACATGTCATGTTCAAATTGCACAAAAAACCTTGATAAAGATACCTATTTGAGGTCATAATATATTACAGTTAGGCAATGTTTAGCCTGTTTTGAATTCTCTTTTAGGACTTGATATGATGTTTAAGAATCTATGAATTTAGCTTTTAAGGTATAATTATTAATGCATATATTATTCAAAGAATATTTCTTAGGGATTATGAATGCTTGTTTCATCTTCAAAATTATTAATATTATTAATATTATTTCCCTTTCCCAGTAATGAATTTATTGCAAAGTTGGAGGTTGAAACGTTTTGTGCTGGGTGTACATTACTTAGTGTATTTATATCAGCACTTCTTATTGTAAGGAGAAAACATCCAAAGATATGTTGTCTATTGCAATGACAAGCTGACTCAAGGAAATTAAAACAGCTGTCAGCACACGACTTATTGCCAGTTGTCATGAATATTTTTTAAACTTTAGTTACTCTGGACACAAATAGACTTTTTCACGGTTTTTTCAACTTTTTATATGGACTGTAGGGAAAATCTGTCCAAACCACTGCAAAGAGTGGCTTAAAATAATTAGTAAAATTGCCAAATTGCAAATACAATAGTAAAATACCAACACCGACATGGCATTTTCTTTAACATACAAAATGGCCGCTTTTGAAATTCAAACTTAGGGACATACGACCCCCCCAAGGGGGTGGGTACTCAACAAATGTTTAAGCCGAGAGGCTCTTTCCTGAGGTCCAACCCCTTACCCTTTTATATACCATTTTTTCACGAAAAAGTACCCCTTTTGTATACCTTCTATTGACAATCTATTGACAAATGGTACCCCTTTCACATACCTTGATTAGTACTTTATATCCTTTTTAGCTACTGTAAATGCAATGTCTTTTGAATAGGAGTCAATCACAAAAATAGAACGTTTCTCGACTTTTGAAAGCCATAAAATTCATCTGTTAGCCTTTTTGGGCCCTTTTACAGATCCTAATGACAAATTTCCCTACCCTTTTTTATACTTCAACTAGTGAAATCCCTACTCTTTCATATACCTGAAGCCTGAAAAAGGTACCCCTTTTGGGCGGAGCCTCCCCGTATAGGCCATTATAAGGAGTACCCTCCCCCCCCAGAATATGACCCCCCCCCCCTAACATTGTCTCGTTGATAAGAGTCTGGCCAGGGAACATTGTGCCGGTTGAATTTGTTGGTGGTGTTCCTCTCCATTGTTAGAGTTTTCTCCAAGTTCTTTGGTTTTTCCTTCTAGACACCTCTATTCTGGGGCACCTTCAGAGTAATTTATAAGCTTTGTACTTGGTTAACTCTATCAAAGTGACACCTCTTTTCAGTTAACACCTCTATTCTGTGGAACGTTGTCCTGCTCCCGAGGGTGTTCTTGAACGAAGGGTCAGTGAATTATTAGAAGCTACCTGTAACCTCTTTTTCATTGCTGGCCCCTTTGTAAAACGGAACTCTTATTAAGTTTAGGGACAGCTTAGTCATTTCCTCCAAAGGAGAAGAAAACTAAGAAATTGTGCATCTATTCTCTTTGCAAAGGACAGCTTTATACAACTTGTAGGTCTTTTGTGACATGATATTGTGATGCTCACTTTTGTCTTTTAGTTTATGCCCTTAAAGGTGATGTTACACGAGACGATTCGCAACGACCATTTTTAGCGCAACACAGAATTGCAGCATTGTTTGGAATAGTCACAACTTTTTTACAACATTGCAACGCTGTGTTGCGTAACATCACCTTAAAAGAGACATCTTTATCTCTTGCTTTGTAGAGCACTTTTCTCGTAACGTACACTAATCACTTGGATTTTTCAAACGAAAGACTGTCATGGTTACATGTTTTCGTATCTGGTTTGGTTGAAACATCAGTTTTTTTACAACAGTTTTATTTTCACTTTATAATTAGCTTAGTTAAAAAGATGCGGTTTGTACGAATTAAGGAGTCAAGCCGTGTGGTCCAGAGGTCTGCCAGGTGGTGGAGAATTTAAAATTATTGAATTATCTTTTCTACCTCTTTAAAAGGAGAATCCATGAGATATGAAAATACACGAGTGAAAGCTCATTAAAGAAAGATTTGCTTACTTAACACTTAAAATTTAAAAATCGCGGTGGTGAACCGACCACGCCCTTCTCCCCCCGCCCCCCACTTGACCGTTTTGTTTACCGTGGTAGACTGGACCCTACTTTCATCCAAGATGGCGCCATTTAGCAGCTTTTAGTGTGTCTCGGATTTTGACAAAAAGCTAGGAGAAAATTAACCTTCCGATATGCAGACCGACAGAGAATATCTCTCCGAATGGCCTCCAGTGGAAGACAAAAGTGACATTAAAGAGTCAAAACGGAGGAAAAGACCCAAACGTGATCGTGAGCAACGTGAAGGTGAAACATACCAAGTAGTCAGAGAGAATTCCTTGCGTGTGGAGGCTGAAAGTGAACGTGTTTTGTGGGCTCGTCCAGCTCTTGCAAGATGGTGGAGGAAAACACAACAACTTCGAAATGTACCAGATTTGAAGAAGCTTCCAAAATCAAATAATCCAAATACACTGTTGAGATATGTAGCCAGGTATGTTAGCTAATGATTGTCTCAGTAGTCACCAGGCGTGGCCGTGACCATGATCATGACCCCCATCCTTCCTTGGGTCATGCATTATGTGACAAAGGGTCCATACAGGGCAATTTGAAATGGAACTTGATTTATAGGTATGTGCCGCTGTGAAGGTCCTTTTCCCAGTTTAATCACTAAACTTCAGAGTTTGGCTCAGAATTCCATTTTTCAGCCATTTGGTTGAAGATTTTATCTAGCTCTGGTAAAATAGGATAGGGGGGATTTGGGAGTTACAAGTGATTAGGTGAGGAGTTTGAGGTTAATGGTTCCAGGCTCCCAGCAGCACCCCCACCAAACCCCTGACTGGCACAAAACCCCTGACTGGCACAAAGGGGCAAAGGGGGAGTTATTTGGATCCAGGTAAATTGGTGCTTGGCCTTAATATCACTAGTCTGCTATCCCAGGACTAGCACGAATTGGGTTACATGAAACGGTCGCCCCATGTAAGACAATCTGGGTTCTGGAATCTGGAAATTGTTTGCTAGTGCAATTCCGAAATCCTAGGTTTTATAGTCTGGAATTCAGCCAAAAGAATCTGGAATCCTAGTGACTGTTGAAATCCTCAACTCAAGTTCCGTTGACAAGGAATCTGGAGCCCAGTACCTGCATCCAGATCCCCAGGCTATTTTGGATTTATCTTTTATAGGACAGTTGCTTAGGTGCGTAACTTGAAAATTTTGGTCTGCCTCAGGGTGTTTAGGATGAAAAGAAGTTTTTTTTACCCATAAATGTATTGCTCAGGGGCATGCATAAGGAAATAACCCTTACGAAAAAACCCAAACTGTGTTGAAGGCAACTTTCAATGTCTAAGATCACTATAGCACAGGCATAGTAATGGCGGTTATCATTGATGGTATGCTTGCGTGAGATCAAGGCTAGAGTGGGATGGCTACCCAATGACACCATTTCGCTATTAATTTTCAGATGTCAAAAGTCCATGGACTAGTTTGTTAGTCCCAAGGTATTGATAGAGTTTTACAAAAATAATATACTTATTTAAAAAAATTTTGTCACAAGATTTTTATCAAAATAAACACTTTTATTTCAACAGCCTCCCTGCAGGAAAAGCATTTTTAGAACAACAGATTTGTGCTTTAAAGGATAAGCTAGCTTTGGATCCTAAAAGTGCCTTTCTCCATGCTGCATTAGCATCATATCACGATCTGTTAAAAGACACATCCTCTGCTTTAAAACATCTGAATACTGCTGTTGAGCTGGATCCATTTGATAAGAGTATAGCATGGCTGCATTTAAAAGTAAAGCAAGGGAAAGATCTAGAGGATAATCAATCATTACTTCAAGATCATGTTTTGAAACGCTCTCCACTCGAGTTTAAGATGCCAAACCCAGTTGAGGTGAGTCAGAAACTATTTGCAGTACATTAGACTTTCTTACAGACATTTCTATTAAAGGGAAACCGTGGTAAAATGGACACCTAGAGTTGGTCCCTGCCTTTCTTTACTCCCTTTATTTGACTCTCTACAAGACAGAGTCTACTCTAAATGGACACTTTGTACCAGTTTCAAAGGCAACCATCTTAGAGAAATTTGACTGCAGTACCATAGTGGTCATGGGTAGGATGATAGTATTTCTCCTTAATGGTCACAGTAAATTTTTTTAAAAGCTACAATGTGCTGAGTGACAAAATAATAATTATCTTCATAAGTCTCCGTTACAATGAAATTAAGGACTTAATTCATTGATCACAGGCACATTAAAAGGTTGCAATATTTGTAGAGATCACAATGCTGTGTCAGTTTGCTCAGGGCTTAAGGCTTGTATTTTATTTAAAACTATTGTAAATGACATACAAGCCTTAAGCCCCTAGCAAACTGACACAGCATTGTTGGCCAACAACTCCCAACATTGTTGGATGTTTGGATGTTAGATGTTGCATCTGTTTGCACACCCTGTTGCATATTGTTGGGAACTTTGTGCAAAGTTTGAAGCTGGTCAAACTTTTAGCCCAGTGCGAACAGACTCAACATTGTTGGCCAACAATTAGGGCTGTCATTAATTTTTCGAGCAGTAGTAGCAAACAAAGATTCACCCGTAACATTTCTCCAAAACTTAATAGTGTCACCTTTAGCTTCCTACTTTGATCACCTGTAAAATCAAAAGCGCTCAGCTTTACATAACAGGTGTTAATGGTTACGGCCCTTGATGACAGCTCTGAACAACTCCCAACATTGTTGGGAGTTGTTGCATCCATTTGCACTTAGCTTTAATTACTTTATTAATTTATAGTAGAAGAATAAAAAGAGTAGAACTCCTCAGATAATTACCTTTGCTTGTGCCGGCTGTAAATTCAAACCTATGATACCCAAAAGGGCTACCAATTTAGTGTTCTCCTTAACAGGGGTAACTTGTAAAATGTATTGCTTTTAAAAGATTATATTACCTAGATTCACCAGGTTTAAAGGATTCTGTAAATCTTTTGCTAAAAGATGGGGACAATTTTGGTTTGGCAATGGTATGAGTCAGTTTCATATTTTTACAGGTTCATTCATACACTCATGCTAATATATAGCTGATGTTTGGAAGTCATCCATAAAAATGTTGTTGTTGTTTCCTGGCAAGACTAGCAGTGAGCAACAACAACTTAGGACTTTATGGAGAAATTATTACAAAATGACCAGCTGATGGGGTTAAGCTTAACAAGGATATAAGCCCTGAATGTGTTCTATGATAAAAACAAAATCGGTCAGTATTTCTCTGGAATGGTTTAGCTTTCTTTCTATTCAGTCTACTCTCCTGACAGTTGGTAAGATGTCTAATTTCACAGCAGTGCACATTATAGGTAGAAAGACGTCATTGTACAACACTTGGGGCCAAAGAGTTTCTTATTGAGTACAGTATGACTGGTACACCTGTTATCATCACAGGACTTGTGGAATCCATGACTACTGTACCGTGGAGCATTCAACACATAAAAGAAGTAGGTGATCCATTATATCAGTTTTACAATGCAAATATAACATTATTTTACTTGTGATCTAAATGGCAAATTTACCTAGGATCTAGGAGAGGTGATCAAGAGTTATCAGCATCAACTTTCTCCTTGCAATGTACAAACTTAATCAAGAGAATAGGTTATGGTAATTTAAAAGGATAAAAAGAAAATAATGTTTTAATCTTTCTCAAATTCTCTCCACAAAATAATAATTCAAGGAAATGTATGGAAATCACTCTGAAGAATTTCTATTTAGAAACTGGGGCTGAGAGCGTTAAAGAGTTTTCATTTATTGATCTCTTCCTTTAATGACTTGGTTGTAAAGATCTAATTGGAAAAATTAATATGGTTATATTTTTTGCTACAAAAACAAACAAAGAGGAAAGGTAGTGACGCATGAGCTATGCTGCATCTGTTCATCCTTAATCACAAGTGACCCAAACCATATTTTTTTCCTTTTCACTGGTCATTCTCAAGGTTTCACTTCAGTGAATGTGTGGGTTTGTTAGGTTTCAGAGATTTCTATACCAAAAACGACAAAATGCTTTCCACCAAAAAGTATTTAAAATGATTTAAATGTGGTTTTACAGTCTTCTGTAATTTTGAAATTAAATTTCACTCTTCAAAAATCACATCAAAGTAGATGATACACATGATAAAAAAAACATAACAAACACAATCAGTTAACAATATTATTAACTCTCCAAAGCAACTTTGGCATCTATCTCCCTTGATTACGTGATTAAAAGTAGTAAAATGTGTCACGCAAGATCGTCCAAGCTCCTGTCACGCGACTCATAAGCAACGAAGTCTTTTCCATAAACTAGAGTTTTTTCTTTTCCTCGGAAACTTCTACCCCCCATCTTCTTATGGCCACCCACTCCCCAATGAGGTAAAGAAACAACACGAATGAAACAGCACTAGCGAAAAATGCAGCAATAGAAACCGCACTCATCTTTTCCAAGAACGGATACACCCAGATGCCTGCAGCGAAAGCGATCCACAGAACCCAGGCTATGTACACTACACCAATTCCTAGAACGGACAGCAATCCTTTCTTTCTTGGCGGGTACTTGTGCCGAATAAAGCACAGCTCAAAAATCGCTGATACGAACGGGAAAGTGTGCATGTAATGATTGAGCAACGCGGGAATGAACTTCGCTTCCTCTTTCGTTTGGCACGAATGTGGGTCGGCCATGTACAAGGCCCAGAACAATATACTCACAGTAAGTCCAAAAGGAAATGCGACACAGGTAAATGTATAATCGCAGACTGACGAGAACACTTCGTTTTTTCGCTTCTTCATTAGTTCATGAATTCCCGTGACGGCCGCCATATTGAAGTACAGAAACTGTACCAGCATGTTTATAAATGTCAAGAACTTGAATCTTCCACCATACGTTCCATGACTTTGCAGCTTAATCTCGGACAGATAATATGTCACACCGATTAAATGTACGAGGAAGCAGAGGTAGTGAAATGCAAGCGTTCCCCATTCGGCCATACTTTTACTTTCGTATCACTAGGCGTGGACAGACGCTGTACACATGTATCGATGCTAAGGAGTTACGCACCCACCACGTGCAAGCGGAAGCAGAGCAAACGTCACGTGAAGACGTATGGGATCAGTTTATTCTATTTTTTTCTACTGAACAAGTGTGAAAAATCTCCTGCACAAAACTTATAAAATATACCGTGTTAAAATGGAATCAAGGAAACAGGAGACTGCTGTATGGTGCTTGAAGAATTTGGAGGGTGCTTGATTGTTTGTGGTGGGGGGAGGGGTGCATAAGCACCCCCCCCCCCAAAAAAAAAAAATAGCAGGGGTGGAGTTGCTCCCCTAGCTGCATAGCTGGTGGGATGAGCGGGTAAGTGCTGTAGTTTTTTCCAGCAGAGCCACGTGAAGTTTGGGAGCTAGTCATATTTTTATCCTTAGTGGACGTTGTTTTGTCCGTAGTGGGTGTGATGATTCTCTGTTATGTTTAGCCACACTTGGTTCATTTGCAGGACAGTTTACTATTACACTGCTCTTCCTGATTGGATAATCAAGGTGACAAAAGTGGGTGGAATTCAAAACCCCTAAGAAATGTGGCAGGTGGGATTTTCCCTTGTGGCATCACCGCTTGCTTTGCACGGTGTTTCTGCTGCCAAGAAAGCACACCCGGTATAACAACCCCACCAGCTACGCAGGCCATTGCTTTCCTAATGGCTGAAGGATTTGCATTCTAAGTCACTATTTTGTTAATGTACAATACAGTTTCTAATTTCACAGGTTGTAGGTCACAAACAAGCTCCTCTGAAAAGAACAGTCAAAGAATCTACAGAATGGGCAAAACTTGAACATGCTTGCTACATGAAAGTGTCTGACTTCATCAGCTCACTGGGGTCATTAGAAGAACCTCTTTATCTATTTGACTGGAGTATACCAACACATGCACCTGAACTGGCCAGAGAATTAGTTATTCCTAAATACTTTGCTAGTGATTTCTTACAAAGAACAGCACCTGGCTCCCTGTACAAAGATAGTTGGCCAAGCTTATTTATTGCACCTAAAGGGTTACACAGTGATCTGCACATTGATGCATTTGGTTCCAACTTTTGGATGGCTCTTTTTCAAGGCAGGAAAAAGTAAGCAAGTTTGTGATATGCAAGCTCTAGGTATTCTCAAATCTGACCAAGTGCCATCTCTAATTCTCTGTTCTTTGCAAACAAACTTAATACCTCCCTTAAAAACCAAGTAGCCCTGTACATTCAATGAAATTGACTTTTTTTAGTGCCTCAATAGAACATAAAACTATTAAAGGGAATTCTGAGACATGAGCCTAGTCAACCGTAAGCCTATGCTAGAGAATGATCATTCTGGGTCTGGTTGCACTTGAAATAAACCTCCCCCTTGGTTTCATGTTTTTGGTGGTTGCACCTCTGTTATCTTCATGGTTATCTATAATATTATGATGGTCAATTTATAAATGAATTTAAAATTTTATTTTTGGTAGATGGACCTTCTTCAGCAGAGATGACACACCATTACTGTATCCACATTATGAAGACTCAATGGACATTGTGTTTGATGTTGACCTGAGTTGTCCAGACTTTGACAAGCATCCCTTACTGAGCAGGACAACCCCCTTACAATGTACATTGCAGCCTGGAGAACTCCTTTTTGTTCCTTATGGCTGCCCACACAGAGTGGAAAACCTGGAGGATTCCTTAGCGATGTCTGCTAATTTTGTCGATTTATCAAATTTTCACGTTGTTCTTGAGGAACTGAGGGCAAATTCTTTGTTAGATCCTCGAGCAGATGACCTTTTAACTCAAATGACTAATGAGGACTTTCCCATAAAAATGCATAGTCTTCAAAACGATCTGCCTTGGGACGAGTTTAAGACATGGCGAAGACATTCATACAAAGAGTATGATATTAACATCACTGATTTAATGTGAAAAAAAATTTGCATGCTAAATTTTACGAAGGCAGTAATGATACTGTAATACTGCAATAACTACTAAAAACAAGAGATGTTAACTTCACCATGAAAAGATCTAAGCAGACAACGATACATTAAAGTCACTAAAGCTCTCAAATAAAAGAAACGACTGGCTCCAAAATATAAATAATCATTTTTAGCTAAGCTTCATAATGTTATTATCTCGAAGAAAGCTCAGTGAGTACCATATAAATAATTATACTGACCAAGGTTCTGTTAGGGTCTGGCTAAAATAGGAAACATTAATTTGTGTTAGAAGGGAATTTTGCATCAAAGAAGCATGAATATTCTTTACCACTTAATTCAGTACAGTTTTAGAATCCAGGTAGCCAGCGAACAGAGGCTTCCTTTTTCGGAGTATGTAATACCCTGCAAAATAGCCTCTGCTGACAATTGTCCCATTTCTATTGTGCATGCCCAAGTTCCCTTACGTGATCTTCACACATAATGGTGCATACTATGCTGTGTTTTTTTGTGCAGCATAAGGTTGATCTGGTATGGATACAATTCCTCTGACATACCAATGGCTGTGAATGAAGATGGGGTTTTCAACCGCTTGAAACACAAATTGCTACAGTATATTGACCTAAAAAGTTTTGCATTCTGCTTAGAGATTGAAAATAACAGGATGAGGTGGCAACCTTTTTATTGTTATTGTGATGAGTCAGTGGAAAATCTCACAAAGCATGTGGATTAGGAAACACACAATAGCAGACGAAACAGTTGCAATGTCCAAACCAGTCTAGAGCCAGTTTGTAAGGCCCTCTTAGGGAAGGGGGGGTGGGGGTACGTTTGTCCCTAGTCTGAATTTCAAATACTATCATTTTGCGTTTTGAGAAGTAGGCCATGTCCCTGGTGGTATTTAGCTCAACTTTAAATCGTTTGTCGCCATTTCATCTAGTCTTGTGCTGCTGTTTCAAGGCTATGTTGTTTGTTGGAATTGTACCCTAACAAAGCTTCATTTGTCTGCATTCCTGGATGGGAATGGGCAGTTGTCAGTAGAGGCTACTTTTTGCAGACAAGAACTTATCACGAAAAAGGTAGCCTGCAAGCAAGCTGGTGACCTGGCGGTGGGGTGGGAAAAGGAAGGAGAGCTTGCAACTACATTTCTGAAATTTGAATATCTGCATTGAAAAAGTCAATGTGAAATACTGATTGGCGGAGATGGCATTAGTAATGGCATATTTTTCAATGTTTGTTTACATTCATGCTCATTTCCACTTTGTGCTGATTGGCAGAAATCTGACAGCTCAGTCGACGGGGAGCCACAGGGGAATTGGGGGTGGAATTCAAATTCCAGAGACGTAGTTGCAATTAACTCTCCTTCATTTTCCCGCCCTGCCAAGAGAGCTTGCTCGCAGGCTATGAAAAAGGAGCCTCTGCTCGCAAGGTTAAACAGAGGAAGCAAAAAATTAAATTTGGATTTGTAACATTTGTTTTTGCTGTAACTGAACTTAGAAACATTATAGCATTACATTAACATTGCTTCCTTGTAAAATTAATAGCCAGGCCCTAATTTTCAGTTACCATTATAATAACTAAACAAAAGTCAACATCCATAATATATATATTGTTCTTTTTCATCTAAACCCTATTAAGGCTACAACTCACACTATATTCTCATCATGTTTATGTAGTAGTTCAAATCTCAAATCCAGGATTTCCTTTGTTTTATCTGACCTGCCAGCCAATCTAGTCCTTCATATAAACCTTCTCCTTTGACAGCACAGGAAGACTGGACAAACCATGGTCTGTTTCGAGTGTTTACCAAACCAAGCTTTTCCCGGACCTCAGAAGCGCTCATTGCATCAGGCATGTCTTGTTTATTTGCAAATACAAGCAGCACAACATTTGCAAGGAGCTCCTCGCTCAAAAGCTTTTGCAACTCTAATCTTGCTTCTTCGATTCTCTCTTTGTCAGCGCTGTCTACAACAAAGATAAGCCCTTGTGTCCCCTGGAAGTAAACTCTCCAGAGATTTCTGATCTTGTCTTGCCCGCCAATATCCCAAACTGTAAAACTTATATTCTTGTAAGTAACGGTTTCCACGTTGAATCCTAATGTGGGGACCGTTGACACAACCTCTTCGAGTTTTAGACGATACAAAATGGTCGTTTTTCCGGCGTTGTCCAAGCCAACCATTAGGATGCGAACATCTTCTTTGCCCAGAAGACGATTAAAAAGATACGAGAACGTACTTCCCATGTCTTTGGAAAAAAGAATCTTTCTATTTTACAGGTTGTACAAAAATGAGTTGCTGGTGGCGAGGTTGACACATCACAACATTTTAGTTTGGTATGTTATGTAGTAGATGGTAAAGTATAGCGTAGTCCGCTGTACAAGGAGCGTGTGCTCATGTAAAATGGCGGCTATAGTTTTGAGGAGGGATGTCGCAAAATCTTGTCTTTTTTCGTTTTCAAGACCCAAAATAACTACGAGAACCACCTATCACATTTGCTGTAGACAACAGTGTTTACAAAGAAATTTTCATTCAGGTATGGTGTGGACTTAAGACTTGTCTATTTTTCAAACCCAAAAAGTAACAAAAATTTTATAATCAACCCATACGGTAAGCTTATTTTCAAGCTTATTGAGAAACGTACTTAGAGGAAAGTTAATTTACGGATACTATCTCTTCTTCCCTCACCTAGTAGAAGAATGGGGAGTGGGGGGTGGAGGGCATCAACCCCCACCCCCCTTGGTAGGGGACACAGCCTTGAGTTTTGCAAGTGCTCATACAACCCAGGCATCAAACTATTCCTGATTCAATATTTTTTCCTTGTTTTTTTCTTTTTTTTAAGGAGGACCTTTTTTCACCAAGTTACCGCTTGTACATCATGAAGGTTTCAGTTGCCAGTGGCCAGAAAAACACAGATTTAAAATGGCAAAGTTTGTTAAAGTAATGGAGTGGATTGTCAAAGACAAACTATTAGACTCAGTACAAGTCTTTCAGCCCACAGAACCTTGTTATGAGGCAGTTACACAGGTTCACACTAAAGACTTTGTGGATAGTTTTATCAAAGGAAGCCTTCCCTTTGATGAAATGCGGAAAACAGGATTTCATTGGTCTCAAGGCCTAGTGAAAAGATGTTTTCTAGAAGTGGGTATGTAATTTTTTGACGATGGTGAAATTGAGTTTTTCCCACATATATGTGAATATGTGTGGGACAAAGGAAAAAATGTTGAGTTCTTGACAGGATTTGAACTTACGACCTGCTGAGCACCAGACAGGAACTCTATCCTCTGAGCTATGAAGACTCATGGAAACCAGGGCTATATGCTACGTTCAAAGTTCACACATGCCCTGCATACTGAAAGGATCAGCAATGTCTATAGCATACTAAATGAAATGGAGAAAGATTGTGAATTTTAAGGTCGGTGACTGAATGTGAAAGTTGTGATAATCAGCATGTCACGAGCATGGGACAAAGAGAAAATCTAGAGTCCTTTGCAGGAATCAAACCAGAAGGAACTCCTGAACACGTCATAGGTGCTACCCCAGAGGGGAGGGGGAACTCAAGAAAGTTAACTTCAGGGAGGCTCTGCCCTGAGGTCCAACTCCCATAGCCTTTTATATACCACTTTTGACAGGAAAGGTAGCTCATAGCCTGCATAGCAGGTGTCAAAAGGGGTTAGGGCATTGGGAGGAAGGAAAAAAAGGAGAGGATTGGGGAGACAGGGTAAGGGATGCCTGCTATAAGAACCCTCTTTTGCTCATTTCTGAATTCCTGATTGGCTGAGCCATAATGGGTAACTTATTGACGTGTATTAGAAACCAAAATTGCAGATTTTCCTAGCCTTTGATATACTTCAACCACTGAAATTCCTGCCCTTTTATATACCTATATCCCCCTTCTGCTGCACCCATTGTAACTTATAGATGTAGTTGGAACTTCAGTGATTTTCTAGATTTTTTGAAGACCATTTGACAACCCATCTAATATGTCCAAACCCACCACAGTCTCAGAACATTTCCTTACTAATGATCATTCTGCTAACAACATTACACTTATTCCACTCAAACTCATTAAATTCAATAGAGACATTGTGTGAAAAACTTGAGAAGCATACCTCATTGAGAGATGTAAAACTCTTGAACCTTTAGGTATTAACAAGAAGGATGAGATGTAATGTATCCTTTCCATTGTATTTATTTATACTATTTTTACGTTTCATCCTTATTTAAGATTGTATCATCTTAGCTAGCGTACCTAGTCATTTGTACATAATGCCTTGAATAACAAAGGCTGTGCTTTTTGAAATACTGGCAACATAAAAAATCTATATATTTCCAACTGTAAAATCAGCCTTGCTTCTTGCCGTTGTGGTTCCCCTTTTGGGTGGACCTCCCCCTTAGGGGAGTGCTACAGAGAGACTCATGGATAGCAAGACCATAAACTAGGCTCATATTTGACCCGCATAATGAATAATGCTTTTTGTTTCTCCATTGAAGGTGGTACTATACTTGCAGCTAAACTAGCTATGGAGTATGGACTTGCTTGTAGCACAGGCGGAGGTACTCATCATGCATTCCCTAGTCATGGCTCTGGTTTTTGTATTTTGAATGATCTTGCAATCGCTGCTCAGGATATGATTGACAACAATACAGTTAACAAAGTTCTTATTGTGGACCTAGATGTACATCAGGTAAATTAACGCTCCATGAAATTAAGATATTGGAAATTAAAGTGACTCAAATCAACACCAATTTAGTGGAAATGACTTTTGAATGAAGTAAATTAACGCGAAAGATGGGAAACATTTCAAAGAAACAAAACTTGATGAGACAGTAGGAACAAAGTTAAACGTATAATCTGAAATGGAAACTTTGTTCGTGGTTCTTTCCCTAAACGTCCAAAAGGGATCAAGCGAAGAAATCTGACCACTTTTAAGGGTTCTTCACAGTTTTACTGATACTTTCGGATCTTTACCCTGTTAAAATACTTCTTTTTCTTCGGCGTAAAGGATGTCAAAACTGTATCGACAATTTGGGGCTAAAATAATGGGAGTTAAGGTCGCGGAAGTGAATCAAAAATTCGCGTTAATTTCCTGTGATAAGGTGTATATACATTGTGTATAAGCTGGAAAGAAACGGATCAAAATGTACCACTCACTTTAACAGTCAATAACAAGAGTTTTAATAATGAAGATACACAACTCAATTTGACTCTGAAGAAGACTAAAAAATCCGGTCAATGTCAACAACAGTAACCCCCTGCAGTAGAACCGTGTTAACTCGTACTCTGAAGGGACACAAAAAGCAGTTCGATTTAGGGAGGGGTAGCAGGGGCGGATCCAAGGGAGGGGCAATGGGTAGTCATTTTTCATTTTTTTAAAACCTGACCTGTTTATTACACCAATTGAAATCAAATTACTGTAGTGCCGACAACTTTGTCCAGAAGAGCTAATGGGATAGCATCCGAGCGGAAAGAACCAGCGTTGGAGTTGTCCGGGTGAATTTCAGTGAATTTTTGATCAAGTGAACGGAAATTTAGTTCGCGTTAGCGGGGAGTTCGAGTTATCCGAGTTTTACTGTATTACTATCGATTTTAAAAGTAGTGGAAGTATTTCATTGCTGTTTTAAATTTTCTGATTTTTTAGCGTTGTCCTGTTTCTTCAGGGAGATGGTACGGCTTTTATCTTCAAGAACAATGATTCAGTCTTCACGTTCTCTATGCATTGTGAGAAGAACTTTCCTCTTAGAAAACAGCAAAGTGATTTAGACGTTGGTCTAGAGTGCGGCTTGAATGACAAACAGTATCTGAACACAGTAGAGGATTATTTACCGTGGCTTCTTGACTTATTTAATCCTGATCTTGTGTTGTATGACGCTGGAGTAGATCCACATCAAGATGACGCTCTAGGGAAACTTAATCTCACAGATCAAGGTATAGCCAAGGAACGTTCAATTAGCAATAGATGGCTTCAGTATTTGGGCGTTTGTTTCACATTGTTGTGCACTTGTGTTGCCCGATTTATGGTAGACGATTTCCTATAGACTCGGCTATTGCATGGGATGTTGTGTATAGTGACATATATGTTGAGACCAGGAACAATAGAACGCGCGGAAACACCCCCCAACAACCCCGAAACATTTCGGAAAACCGGCAAATAAAATCAGAAACCTGAACACAGTCTATAAAGTAATCTAAAACGTTCTTTCTGTTCGGTTTAGTCTTTTGAACTGTTCCAGACTGTTGCCTGTTCCGAGTTTTAGTACCTGTGATGTATAGATGGGAGGTCAACTAGCTGGAGATTTGTCACAAGAGAAGAGAGGATTGTACTTTTAGAAGTGTCAAATACATATAACCGTATATAAAAGTCCCAAACACAGCCAGTGGCAAAGTGTGTCAAAGCCCTGTTTGATAATCCATTTATGAGGCAGCAGGGGTAGCTCCCAAAAAAGACTGTGATGCTGTTTCGGTGGAGGTATAAAAAAAGGTGTGTTTTTAAACTCAGTTGATAAAGTCAACCTTGCTACCGTAAAAGTGATCCAAAGCAAATTATTTGAATGTCTTTTTGTTGGCAATTTTTATTGTCTAGACTCAGTTGACAAAACTAAATTGTTGTATTTATGTGCTAGGACTGTTTGAACGGGATGTGACTGTCTTACAAACGATTCTGAAAAGGAGAATTCCCTGCGCTACTGTGATTGGTGGAGGCTATGATGACGACATCGAAGTTCTCAGCAGACGGCACTCCATTATTCATAGGGCAGGAATTAAGGTGGGTGTGACGTAACCTGCGAGCCCTGCGAGCGGGCCGCGAGACAACGCGCGTGCTGTTCTTGCGTGACTACTCGCGACTTTTCCAAATGGAGAGCTTACTCTCTGCTCGCAGGCTAAATGTGACGCAAAAGACCAATGGGCTGGCGTTTGCAACGTCATCTCTAACATCTTTTTACAGAGACAACAAATTCTTGTGTAACTGCTAGCAACTGCTAAAGGCTGAAAACGAGCTTGCGAAGTTGATGGTTAAAAAAAGGCAGCCAGCAGGTTTGTTGTGATTGCTTGCAGTTCTTATTAATAAAGCCACACCAAACCAGTCAGTAGATATTTAGTATTTGCGTCCGCAAATCAAGTCGCAAATCACCTTGGAACTTTCTTTTAGAAAGCTTAGCTTTAGTTCTTTTTTATCAACTGAATTTAACTTTCGGTTCAAAATACTTCGCAGAAAGAGCCTGCGATGTACAGCTTGCTTGTTTATCCAAGGTCAAGTGAGGTTTGTGGCGACCGTAAGTTATCTGGCAAAACAATTGGAAAGCTTTTAACTGATCCAGGATTTTATTCACTTTCAGGTCTGGAATGACAGGAATCTCTGAGATCTGAACGTAGCACTCAGCTTTTCTGAAACGAACCCTTTGAGGGATAGAACTGAGGAAAGTACGCCGAGTAAAACAACATATGTGCAAAGCGCAACCTGTTCCGAATCGTCTCTTCAAGTAAGGACCGTTCCTCTAGAATAAGGGAGCGTGATAAACAGGAAAGATCAAGAAAAATGTGGCGCTAAGAACTGAATGACTAACCTTCTGTTGGAAGCCACAAGGACCCAAGAAGAGAGTATTACATCTATTTCACCAGAATCGTGAAAATGGTGGCTGTAAAGGAGGGTGCCTAGTGCCGTGTATTGTTTAGCAAAAAATGATGTTTTGAGTAGTGTAATGACTGTTGTAGCATTCAATGTGTTTTGTTTCTTCAACCTCCGGGCAGGCAGAGACCGTTTTAAAGCAATAGAGCTAAACAAATCTGGCATTAGGTGTCTCTTTTTCCGATTCTTATCATTCGTTTGCGCGCCATCACATATTTATTTGAGGAAGGCGGGGGGCCCATCAATTATTTTGGGATAGAAAGGGGGCCACCTAAAAAAATTCTCATGAAGAGAGGGCGTCATCATATACTACAGGAGTTACTCGTTAAATTCCACCAGTCCCCCCCCCCCCACCACCACCTTCCAGAAAATTTAAAAAAACCGTCCCTAATCAAGCGCTTACCCCCTTTGCTAAACAAAAAAAACAAAACTAAAAGTTGCATGCCTGTGTGCATGCAGTTTTCATTTTAGGCCTCTCCAACAGTAAAAATGAGTTTTCCCGGAAACCCCCTTTCTGCCTCTTAAATTTCAAAGAATGACTGTTTACCGATTTAAAGACATTTACTTAAGATAAAAACACTTCATATTCTTTCATTCCATATTTTCTTCAAAATTGTATTTCAATTACTATACAGCTAAGTTGTTCGTACATTAGAGATCTTATCGATAAACTTCCTTTTTAGCAACTTTTATTGGCAAAAAGTACACACTTAAGTTACTTTACATCCGCCATAACAAAATGCAAGTATGTTGACGGGGTGGTACGAATGCTCGCAAAGCAAAAACCACTCCATGTAATTATAAACAAAAATTCCAGTGTTAAAGGTGAGTCACCATCGAGTGACGTCACCAGCACATTTCTTTGCACGTGTTGTTGTCACTACGCCTTCAACGGATTTAAGTGGGCTGTTAGTCGTCTAGTGACTCCTGGGTTTGTAGTGTTCGCGCCACAGCGATTCCTATTTGTTAGACTCTGAAGTGCACCGTACGAACTCTTGTGTATCCCGTAGGAAAGCGAGCTAGGGCCATCGAAAAGACTGTCATAACCACAGCGTACTCACTGAGCAGCGAATACAATGTTACATTGTGCAAACAACAGGTTTCATAACGCATTATCACTCTCTTATTCCAAATAAAAAAATCCTTTTTCTACTCTACGTCTAGTTTGTCTGTAGGCGACTATCTCGTTCTCGGTTGAAGATTTTGTCCAAGGGTGTAGGGCTTGCAGAAATCAGGCGTGAATGGAATGCAGTTTAAGAACTCACAACCGTCACAACTAGACCCCTGATAGATGTAAAACACTAAAAATCCTACGACATACAGCGTAATAACCAGCGCAAAACACACAACTATCTGAATCTGCTTCCGTCGCCTGTCAAACTCGCCAAATGATACGTACGGAAGAAAGATAAAGGCCAACAGAAATCCAAACACAAAGCCGATCATATGGGCGAAGTTGTCGACGTAAGGTAGAAGACCTATGACCAAGAGGAGCAAGACTAACCCACAGAGTTTGAGTAGAGCTGTTACTGGTCTGGCTATGATCTGCCAACTTTGAAATAACTCCACAAACAGACAGGCGATTACACCAAAGATGGAGCCTGAAGGGCCGACCTGCAAAAATAAAAAGGCTTTTAAGTGGGGCAAGGTCCCGTGCAGCCCATTCGCCGCCTTAGAAACGAGAAGGGGACTGGAGCCCAAATGCGTCCCGCAATTGTTTAGGGGATCGTTACAGGACAAGCGCTGGTCAGCCATTGGCCAATGTCCCAAGTAACTGTCCCAGAAGTCTTTGCGAACGGTCACTCGCCCCAGTTTCCCTCTCGTTTCTTAAGTGGCGAATATTCGGCAAAGGCAAAAGCTATGGATGATAGTGTCGACGGATTAAGCGCAAAAAAGAAAAACAATCCAAAGGACGAAAATGATTACCTCAGCCTGGTACGGGAGAAGTATTCCACTGTAAAGATAGCCGCCAATCCCGCTAAATATATAGATGATGGCCATGCGAAGCCAGCCGGCCATCTTTTCCATGTCGCGCATGATGGTAATGTGAAAGATCAAAGTGCAGCAAAGATGAATTATCCTAAAAACAGAGTGAAAAAAAATTGTCATGCAACACATTTCATTTTTCTCTTGATGGGAGTTCAAACAACAGTGTTAAGTGAAACTTGTGAACTACCTCTAACGTGGGCACCCCTAGAAACTACTCAATAGAGTGTTTTCACATGACGTCACGGCGGCCATATTGGTGTCCCAAAACAATGAAACGGCGGCCATGTTGGTGTCCCAAACCAGTCCTCTGGGAGTTGAACTCTTTTCTTATGCAAATGTATTCTTTTGTTCCAATAAATCTGCATACATGCTGGCCACGTAAGCGAAAACATTCTATAGGTTCAAACCTTCAAGTAAATTTCGCCCATTTTAGGCAAACATTTACAATTGTGTGCACAATAAGTGTCAAAATTACCCTGCATGAGCAAAGATTGCCATCCAAAGACGATAAATTTGGTCAGGCTTATCCTTGCGATGAAAATCCAACATACCACAGGTGTCGCTAATGCAATCCACCTAAAAGAGAGATACAACATTCTCATATGCACGGTCGGGTGGGTGATACTAAAACGGTGGAACGGTGGGAGGGAGGGGTAAAAAACGGGAACAAATAGAGAATAGGTAATGAGGTTGGGGGACAAGGTTAATGTTACATCTTGTTCCCGTTTTTCTTTTTTCCGTTCCCCGTGCTCGACTCGCGAATCGAATTTGCTGTTTTCTGCTAGCGACAAATCTTACTGAACTGATGGCAATAATATTGGAGGCTTTTTACATGCGGGCGATTTTCGAGTTGCAACCTAATTGTAGTTCCCGTCGCGAGACAAATTACGCAATAAAATCGCCCGTGTAAACGTACCTAGGAATTTCAAGGACACGAGCGCACGCACGAGAAAAGGAGAAGAGGCCTCCTCTTTCCCAGGGCTGCTCTTTCCTGCGCGTGTTGCCGCCTTCGCGCGCTCTGAAAAACTGACCAAAAGAAGTAACCGGCACCCGCCGCGCAGGCTAGTGTAAACAAGCCTTGATGAGCAAACCAACTTGGCACGTGCAGCACACTTTTTGGTAAAGTTCTTAACACCGCAGCACTATTATCTCAGCAGCAAGTTTTCCTTGAAAACTAAACCTCCCTCATATAAAAGGAGCTTTGTGGAGGAGGTGGACACGCAACGACGAGTTCTCCGGACGACAATTTTTATCCACCACATGAGAAGTCTCGATGGGGTGGTGGCTTTAGAGTTTCATAAATGTTCGCGTTGTGCCGTCGTTTTGCAAGCTCACTATTCAACGTGAAAAAGGGTTATTTTTTACGTAAACAACCAATGGAAAACGTGAGTATCATTACCATCATTAGCACTATTTCATTTATTTTTTGTTAAGATATGAAGAAAAATTGTTGAAAAGCCTACTAAGGGCCTGTTTACATGGAGGTGGGGGACCCCAGGTAGGTGAGGTAACCCGCTTAGGCGGTTTCAATGACAAAGTTGACAAGAATTATTGAATGGTCGCTAAGCACGTAAACAAGAAAATGCTGGCAAACCACGAGTTTTTGATTAATGCCGTTGTTGGTTTTGCAAACCCGTTATGCAATCGTTTCTATTGTTAACTTTATACGTTGTTTTTGCGCGAATTTGATTTCACGAATGTATGTAAAAGGCGGGTTACATTTGTTTACGTAGTGACCCCGGCTGATAACCCGGTCTGGTAGACCGGGCTAATCTCAATATCATGTAAACGTGATCAAATGAAAATGAAAGATTATATGGACAGGCGGGTTACCCCACCTAAGCGGGTTACCTCACCTACCTGGGGTCCCCCACCTCCATGTAAACAGGCCTTAAGTGAAGGAAATCTGCAGGCGGTTTCAATGACAAAGTTGACAAGAAATATTAAGGACGTTTTTTGAAAGCAGTTTTTGGTTTTCAAACGTTATCAATCGTCTTCTTCATATGTTGTTTTATTTCCTACTGTATGTAAAATAATTTGTTCGTGTTATACGCAATCTAATTTATAGATTTAGCCAGGGCTAAAAGCGAAGCTGTCGATAATATCTATAGTTTGCTCAAACAAAATATAAAATCGTGTAATGCTAGCGGCGAAGGTAACGAGAACGGTGAAAAAACAACAATAGGTCTAATTAGCAAAAAAGCAACTTTGCACGTGCAGCACACTTTTTTGTACATTTCTTTGCCGTTGTTTTGCACGACTACATCGTGAAACTTCCAGAAACGTCATGGTTACACGTTTTATATAGGAAATGTCGTACGTGTTCTTGTTCACTTTGTTTTTTCACTGCCGCTCATTTTCATCTTGGTGGCCGCTAGCATTTCTCATTTTCTCCCCGCCGCTACAAAATTTTCATGTTGTTCTTCCAACAATAAATAGGGCAATTTATACGAGGAAAAATAAGACGCGAACTTTCCGTATAAACGGCACATTTCGTCTAAAATCAGACGCGACTTAGCTAAGACGCGTCTTATTTTAGAACAACCCTTAACACCTGTTCTTAGATAAGACGCGTCTTAGCTAACACGAGAAAAACTTCGTATAAATGACCTTCGCGTCTTACATAAGACGCGAACGCATAGTACGCATGCGTTAATTTTTGGCGGGAAAATTATCGCTTGCCCCGCGGTGTACTGGCAGGCCACTGGCGGGGAAAAATTGTTTACAAATTACAACGCGTTTAGTTTCCTTGTCTCTTCTGCTTTATTTTTGTCTTCGCTCAAATACAACGAGCACGCCGTTAAAGGTAAAAAAGAAACACTTGGTCCATCGCCGAGGAAAAATATTTTTTGCTATTATGTAAGGAGAAGGCGATAACAGACCTCCTGGACAAACGAGTGACATCTGCTGGTATGGTGTAAGTAGACCCTTTTAACTTTAAACTATCACAAGTTACAATTACTAATCAAATTGCTATCTTCGTATTATAAACTTTACACTTTAAAAGTAAGTTTAAGTATACAGAAGACTTAGATAAGACATGCTCGTATAAATGGTCCACTTCGCGTCTTATTTTTCCTCGTATAAATGGCCCTAATGTCTCCTTTGTTTTTTATCTCCAGCTCTAGCTCTCTGTCGCTCTTTTTCTCGTTGAGCTTCGCTGGCCTGTCGCCTACTTTCTCTTTTTCTCTGTCTTTCTCTTTCTCTATATTCCAAATTTGTGGACGTGACAATTAATCTGAGCTTAATACTTTAGGCAATACGGATACAGAAACAATTTCAGATTTCCGTTTTCGTCTTTAATGACTTTAGATGTCCCTGCTTCACAAGACGCGCGTGGCTATGCGATTTCTCGCCAAAATATTTGGGTTGCCATACCTGTTGATTGAGTTATTTTACATTGGTATGCCTGTGGTGTGGACGGGCGGGAGGGCGGACCGTCACGTGATTACCAAAATGTCTCAAATGGGTAGATTACCACATTTTCTTGGGTATGGGGCTAAGCTCGCGCGCGCGTGGAGCTCCGCTTTAAAGAAAGCCCAAGCCGAATGCTGAGCTTCACTGGCATGAACAGTTCGTTTTAAAGTGAATCAACTACGATCGACAGACGAAATTTCAAGCAGCTATGCACCTGCGAACAAGCTAAAAGCGGGCCATCTATTTACACAAGTTGTACGAAAAAAATTCCGCGCCAATTTAACCTACAACTTACTTGAATGTCGCATACAAACAAAACAAATACGTCGAACGATCCATGTTTTACGCCTACAACATAGTGTAGATTGCCTTTGGGCATTAACTGTGTTGGAAAAGCTACAAGAGAGAGTCACTAAAGCTAACAACAAACACCGTATGTGAATATCCCGTCGGCCGTAAGATTGAACCCTTTTCAAAACTCAGAGTGTAATATTTTCTTCTCATAACGGTCGGATAATTTACTTATTTCCCGGCTGCTGTTTATATTACTAACATTTTGATATAATGCAATTTGCCATTAGCCTCCCCGCAGACGTCCTTTGGGGTTCGTTTGTCACGCATTCATTTCTCCCCTACGTCCTCCATCCTACTTCAGGTTACTCTGAAATACAATTCTACTTTGAAATACACCCTGAGATCGCTGAGATACAAGTGAGTGGGATTATTAACCGATAAAATTAATAATAAATTGGAAAGAAGTAATTTAATCAATGAGCAGGCGCTTAACCGTGAACCTGTCCCTTTAAAAACAATTTTAAAATATCACCGTTTCCAATTACCTGCGTACAGCCCCCCTCCCCTCAGAGGGGGGGAGGGGGGGCGTACACAAGCTACGTTTCTCACCACTTACCTGTGAACATAGTGTAAAATTCTCGTGCCATGTACCATTATAAAAATCACACACTCCTTTGCTGACAATTTCACATCTGGCTTCGTTTCCCATGCAGCAAGGCCGACCAGTGATTTCACAGGTCATGTGAGGATAGTCCGTAGGAGATAAATTCGGCTTGTTCTTTTTACACACCTACAATATAGCAAAAACTGCTCTGAAATTTTCTATTCTTTATTTCCGATAACCATCACGGAAACTTAACTTTGGATGCCGCCCAATTCCCTATCCCGGGCTCTGGCTCGTTGGAAATTCAGGGCAGGCAAAAAAATTGAAACTCTCTTGCCAAGTTGGCAAGTAAATTTCAGTTTCGATTGCCTTCACTTAAAACTTAGTTGCCCGACTCCGCGAGGGGAATACAACGCCTTATAACCTGCAGTTCTAAGGTTGGAGTGCCTTTTTTTTATAAAGACACTGCCCACCTACACTAGCTTTTGCGATTTGTGGGTAGTGAGAAAATAAAATTGTAAACTTTGAAGAAACAATAAAAATGAACATGATAGATTATAGAAAAGCCAATTGTTAAACTCCTCAAAGGTAATGATGCTTAGTGCACTAAAAATGGTGCTTAGAGCACTACGCACTAAGCATTTCTAGTAACTTTGATTATTTGTATAAATATGTCAATTATTGCATGTTTGGTGTTAAACTCTGTTTCAAATGTACAAATGTAAGTGGCCCTGACAACATACCGGCCATTTGGTGATATCCTGCGAATCCCATCTATCAGGAGCGACATCTGGTGGGTCCAAGCACGTTCTGTTAAGGAACAAGTAACCAACACTATGAATAGACTGCGACCAGTCTATCTTTTTCTTCAGTGCACGCGCGCTTTCTCGTCTCGCGCCTTCAGTCACGCGAGTGGTCATTTTTGTGTCTCACAAGTTTCGCTCGACAGACTACGAAAAAAAGAGACTGTTCGTAGTCTACACTTTGAATAGACCTCTTAAGTTAGTACGTTTTGTTTTCCGAATGATGCTTCCGGGAGAATTTGATTCTTTGCCTTTTTATAGATTATGCGTACATATAACTACGTGAAAGGAAACTTTTCTCTTGAGTATTATCACATGACCTGCGTTGGAAACGAACATACAACCTAAAGAGACCTGTTCAGCGTGCAAAGAAGGCAGTGTCCGATAGCCCGGGACTACTGGATTTTGCTATAGGGCTAGTGAATTCTGTTATTAACTTGCCCGACGGGCAAGTGAAGTTTTTTGAGGAATTCAAAATACAGGAGAACTGTGAAATCAATCTGCACATCAAAACGTTTTTGGTGCTGGTTGAAATGATGTTTGGGCTAGTAAAATAATGTTAGATTCAGCTTGCCCGAATGGCAAGCTGTAAAAATGACTTTCTTTGCACCCTGCCTGTTGCGATCTAGAAAAAAAAACAGCAGGGAAGAAGGATACCCATTTCCAGCAAAAAACTCAGGGAGAAACTCCCACATGAAATAGACGGGGACGCTCGTCGGAAGACTGATTTAAACCTCCAAAGGAGAAAAACATGAGGCCTTATTTGACCTCTAGAATGGACCACACTACAACACGGTTTCACAGCATTTTACGTATAACGCTAAGCAATACTTTTATAGGGAATAATAGTGAGATCAAGTTCTGCATATAATATGGGGGACAACGAGCATTGCGGTCTCTTTCATACGCGAGTCTCCCCAAGGGGGGGGGGGGGGGGGGGGGAAGGAGGGCGGGAAAGAATCATCATGGCATCATCATGGCTGAGTAACACTCCTTTTAAGGTTGAAGAATTCTCATCTCTGTTAAGTGTCATCAAATGTTCCCGACACCATGAACTTCATGGTTTCTGTATTCACCTTAAGCTGAATCATCAATTGAGACATGCGACAATTCAGCTTGATTGCAATGAACATTAATACTTTTTTCTTTTTCCAGTTAACATTGATATTCTTTTTCACTGTAAGCAATCTATGTAGTTACCTTGGATCTTGTCCACACACAATCCTTGTTTTGTTGTCTTTGGAGTATTTTTTGAAGGAAGCAAATGCTCTCTGGAATTAAAAACAAAATGCCATCATTATTATCAATGACAGACAGCTTCAAGTCATTAAAAAAGAAAACTTTACATGCCTGAAATTGCCAAATGGCACCAAGTCTATTCCCAACAAAAGTGGAAAAACATGGCAGGAGTATTTTGCAGAATTGTAAATGGCCACCGAGCACCAAATAACTATGAAGTTTGGTGAGAAAACAACCAGCATTTCGCAACGCCACCAACGGTATCCCCATGAAATATTGTCTGAAGAACGAGCGCAGAATTTCCATACTGATGACACATCACCACCCAGATCTGGGTAGTGATGCGTTATCAGTATGGAATTTCTGCACTAAGACTAGAGTAGATTGAAACTAACTTTCTGAAAGAATAAGGAATACACTCAGCTTCCATCTTTGAAATCCAGTATTTATGCGTACAACTTGCCCTTTTTCCTCAGAAGGGGGTATTCAGGATCCCTCATAACTCTGAAGTTTAGTGATTAGGGTTAGGAAAGTGATTCAATCAAGTATTTCAGTTTTTTCCCGTATAATGACCCTAAAGGAAGTGATTCATGCACTTTCTTAAACCCAATTAGACTACTCTGGCCTGCAAGCAGGCTTACTTGTGCTAATTAAAGAAAAAGTTTTGAGATTTAGCTGCCATTGATGCCATCATTTTCCCCTAATTCACTCAAGTATGCCTGCTTACAGGTAAAATCTACCTGTCAGTCAAACTTACTGAACACTCTTTCTGCGATGTCTGAATGCATCCTGATCCATCAGACTTTATACAGCATCCTGTATCGCTCTCATTTCTCCTTTCTTCCTGGAGCACGTCTTGCAGTTTACTGTCCACACGCATGCAAGGAGCAAACTTGGCCCCCATTCTGATTAATCCTCGCTACAAAGTAAAATATTGTCATGAAGTCTTGGTGTGTGTAGGTTTAAATTAAAGTAACTCAACAAAGATCCTACTAATCTTTACTTGCAAAATATCTATGGCTTGTGCTTTATAAATATTCAACCAATTACATCTTGTAATCATTGCACAAGCCATACAGATTTGAATCCCCCAACCACCAAATTATAACATGAGTGTGGCTTAGGACATGATAAGAAGCTTTACATGAAGTACAGACTATCAAACATGCTACATGTATGATGTCTAAATTATTATCTACCAGTATCACTGCCAAATGAATGTACCTGATTAGGACCAATCCAGAAGTTCTCATGTTGCATTCGAGATTCCTTAATTGGCACAAGTGTTCCAGCCAGACTCTTGTCAATCTAAAATCAAAAAGGCCAATGAGGACTAAATTCAGGACTGTACCCTGTACCATAAGCCCTTGGTAATTCATGCTTTCCAATACTTTAATCTTTAATCTTTAATCACAGTTCGTAACCATACATAACTGATACAAATGAACTAATACTAACATATACAATCGAACAAAAATACAAAAATGGTTAACAGGACGGTAGTAGGGGGAAACCAAATTCCCATGCTAAGACATACCTTCCAAAAAAGAAAAAAGAAAAAAAAGAAAAAAAAATTAATTAATATAAACATATATTAAAAGACTATAAATTAGACTATAAATTATAAACCTAGATGCCTAATAATAATGCATAAACTTATATTAAAGACACTATGCCTAATATTTTAAGGTAAATTATGAGCGAAGGTACTTAATCAGTGAAACTTTAAAAGACTGAAGGCTAGGAGATGACATTACTTCAGAAGGCAAAGAGTTCCAATCATTAATATATCTCAGTTCTAAAGAGTCCCATTTTAACTCTAAAAGTCTTTCAGGATATTCTTTGTCGGGGCCACATATTAGTCGGGACGCTCTTCTCTGAATTGCTTCGATTGCCTTGGTGTGTTTCACCAGATAGGATTCCAGACTGGGCAGGCGTACTCGAGGATAGGTATCACTAGCACCTTGAAAGCTGTCTTGATACCAGTCTTGTTTGAATAACCAAATGTCCTTTTAATC